GTGTGTGTGTGTGTGTGTGTGTGTGTGTGTGTGTGTGTGTGTGTGTGTGTGTGAGTGAGTGAGTGAGTGAGTGCGTGTGTGTGAAATTTCTGCATTCGTATGTACATGTATGTGTGCACGTATGCATGCAAGCATATTATATGTGTATATGTTCGTGTGTATGAATATATGTATGGATGCATGTATGTATGTATGCATGCATGCATATATGTATATATGCATGTATGCATCTATGTATTTACGCGTGCGTGTATGTATGTATGTATTTACGTATGTATGAGTGTATGTATGTTCGCTCAATCCTAGAAAAACTCTACGGAATGTGGACGGATTGACCAGATCGATATATTGACCAAGTGCGTGGTGACGACGGATCACGTTTTGCTCTTCGAAGTTATTATTTGTAGTCGGTATGCGTGTGTGTGTGTGTGTGTATGTGTCTATATGTGTGTATAGGTGAGTGTGTGTATGTTTGCTGGTGGTAGTGAAGTGTAGGTGGATGAAGGTGTGTGTAGTTGTGTGAGTGTGCGAATGAATTCGAGAGATCTGGAAGCCTGAACAAATTCACTTGGAAAGCNATATTGACCAAGTGCGTGGTGACGACGGATCACGTTTTGCTCTTCGAAGTTATTATTTGTAGTCGGTATGCGTGTGTGTGTGTGTGTATGTGTCTATATGTGTGTATAGGTGAGTGTGTGTATGTTTGCTGGTGGTAGTGAAGTGTAGGTGGATGAAGGTGTGTGTAGTTGTGTGAGTGTGCGAATGAATTCGAGAGATCTGGAAGCCTGAACAAATTCACTTGGAAAGCTTGAGGATTTCTGTTGATTATCTATCACATTCGAGCACCGGTCCACAGCACTACCGACAAACACCAACCACCTCCAGAGATCCAGAAACAGCTTAACTCATCTTCGTTTTTCTCGTTCTTACCAAAGCTATGTTGTCTTCCTGATTTATCAAACTGTGAAATGATCACAAAACTTTTTATCTGATTATGTTTAGAAGAATGTTGGTTTCCACTGCAGTAGCAGAAAGGCTAAGCACTTTGTTCGATAGCAACAATTTTTGCAGTTTATCCAACTACGGCAAGAGGCAGCAGAAAGTGATGGAAAACATAATATTGGAAGCATGCCATTACAGTTTCCCGAAGAAAACAAATCCTTGAAAAAGCTCGTTTTTGATTCGTTTGCAGCACCATAGTGATTTTTCCATCTATAGTTTATGCACCTGTTGAAGGAGGTTCTCACTAGAATGCTCCCAATAGCAAAACATTTATTCCAGGTTAGAATATAATTACGAATCAACTGAGGTACATAAATAAATGAACAAAGGAAAATCAACTTTCGATTTTTTCCTGCCGAATCGTTCTTTCTCTTTGAATGAAACTCTTCAGTCTTCTTCGCTCTTCTCCTTAACTCTTGGTAGGAACGGTGAGATTTTTCTGCTATGATCTTCTGTCTTATACTTAGTAGCGCTCTCTCGCTCTCTGGCTGTATAAAAAAAATGCACTTGATTTTCCCCACATTAAATAGAATCCTATAACCTATAAAATTTATTGATTGATTTAAATTGATTTCAAATGATTTTATTTCGGTGCATCTTCGTTGTTGACCGTTTTAAAAAGGCCTTAAGCTCTTTTATAAAAAAAAAGAGATAAAAACCTGAGATGTGACGATTGGAAAGTGCGTGGGAGGTACTTCGGTGTTTGGCTCGACGAGCAAGTGCCTACAACAAGAGGGAAAGGTCGATGGGCAACCTTCCCATTACCACCAGCTCGGCCTCTCTAGAGCTCATCGCGCAATCCGAGGCTGCCCTGTCGATGAAAAAGTTTCAAATAGCGCACGAAGAGAGGAAATTGTGGTGCCGATTGTGTCTCTTAGACGAAATGTTGGAGGACCCTCGTGAACAATGAATGCGAGAAAAACGAATGGACTCCAGGAAGTGCAGAAACCCACAAGTAGTTGTAATGACGGGTCATGTAAAGTGTAAAAAGATTTCATGCAAAAATTCACTGGCATATAATGCAGCTTGTCGAAAAGTTTGCGAAAAATGTTTGTCTCATTATTTTTTTTACATGGCCTGACGCTTCCTTCGTTCGATACGTTCCCTCACTTCAATTATCCATGAAGTTCTTAAAACTTTTAGCATGTGCGTTCGTGTGCTGCTTGAAGATGTCGTTTTCATGAAGGCTGCCTTTGAGTACTGGTCCAATATGGAACTCAGGAATTTTGGTGTTAGGACGTTCCTAGGCTTTCACTACAAGCGATCTTCACGCTTTCTGGATCACACAGAACATTTCAGACAAGTCTATTACAATTTGCATGTCGAGGATAGATGGTAGGTATGGTGGGCCACTTGCACTTAAGAAATCAAGATCAGTTATGGGAAATTGAGCTCCCTGGACGAAGACAAACGAAAATATTAAATCAGTGTTTCGATTTGGCAAAAGTATATTAAATAATAGGAAAACTTTGTCTTCCTAAGCGATTATGCATCACGAAGTCGCGTTTCATAGTGATGGCCAGGCCGAATAAAAAGATCCTCATCAGGTTCTTCCAAGGAGAAAAGGAAACCATCATTTTTCGAAAGCACAGCTAAGGGTAAACTTATTCCAACCAGTGTTCACCGAGTATCCTGTGGCCACTTTCTTGCTTAGAACTTTGCAAATTGTTAAGGGATTCGCCGCAATATTTTGGTGCTGTTTAAGTGAGCAAAACTGTGAGTTTGGTGCGTGCTGGGTACAAAAGGCGTTTAGTGGTAGCCTTTCGAATTACTTGATGATTCACTGGACCATAACTGATAAAGATGAACATCATATCACCAGACCACTAAGTGAAAACGAAGCATATTTAACCTTGGTGCGGTTTTTTAGAATAAAAACTGCGCTCAAATGAAGGATAGGTGTTTGAACTATTACTGCTTGGATACTTGGATGGCCGACATTCACTGGTTGTGCGGACACCAGAATAATTTTCGTTTTTTCGCAGTTATGATGCTCTAGCCATTGCAGTTCCCTTGAGTTCCAAGGACAACCTGGCCTAAGCCTGCCTCAGGTAGTCACCACCACAGGCACTCACCGGCCATCGTGGATCAAAGGGAGAATTGCCACTATGCGACTAGTTTCATACCAGGACGGTAGTAATTCCAGGAGCACCTCTCAACCACGATGAGACGGCAACCCACTGGGAGAGAACTATTGCTGTAGTAATATCAAACATCGCGAAGTTGAACAGCGAGGAGAAAGGGAAAAAGAATGCAGTTAAGGAAGTTAGGGTGGTTTCAATGCCATTACATGAACATTTATTTTCTTGGTTTGCGTTCTTTCTCAAAAATAATTTTGGTGATTAGTTCAAAGGGGCTGGCAGTGGATTGTGTGAATCTGCAAATCGTTTTCCGGTGCTTCGTGAAGAACTTCTTAAGTGAAAAACTTGCAAACGACGACCATATAGACTTACAGAAAAGTTTTCAGAAAAAAACTATTATTCTCCAGAGAGAAAACTCTTCAACTGACAGGTATCCTTTGGCAAAAACTCGAATTCGGTGGTGGTCAATAGGTCTTTTTCTGTGCTATTTTTCAATTATATTTATTTTCACTTCTTATTTTGTGCAGTTGGGTTTTCACAATGGAGAACATATTTTTTCATTTTTAGTGTCAAATATACTTTGTAGTGTTCTTTAACTTTTAATAAGTAATTTCCAGCAATGATAAATAACACCTTATTCACACCAGTACCACTCGTAATGATTCTCCCATTCATCTATTCATCCGCTCGTTATTTTTTTCTCTTTTGTACTTACGACCAGAATATTATCCACTACCTTCAATCAAGGATATAAGCACCTTAGTCATTTTTTCTCCTAAATTCTCTTCTTCCTCTTTCTCTTATCGGCTGTTTTTAAATACATTTCAAATGGTTATGATGACGTTTCTCCTTTAAGGAGTCGAATTTTGAGTTGTACGTCAGAAAAACGAATTTTCCGCGAGGCTTATTTCAACCCGTGGTAGATTTCACAACATTTCAAGTGATATACTTATTCTTACAGAATGGACAACTACGAGAAGGATCCTGGCTGGAAGTATTTAAGGCAGTCATCGGAGCAGGTTAGTTCATTCCTTTTACAATCTAACAACTCCACTGATAGTTGTTTTTAGCGGAATTATTTACGAAATTGGGTATAGTAGTTGTTTTTACTGGAATTCCTGATAAAGATCTAGTCCACATAACGCAATCAGCCATGTTTGTTTACAAAAAAAACTTTTCTTTCCGTTCGAAACATTTCATAAAACTATGTTGCAGCGCTTAACTGTTAAAAGACCGACCCACTGAGAAATGCAATTATTTCTTTTTGACCTACCCACTTCTCATCTACCTATGGCTTTTGGTCCACGCATAGTTTTTGACCAATTTTTTAAATTTTTGGTCCGCCAATATTTTTGATCAAAACGTATTGCTGACCTACCTATAACTTTTGATGCACCCACTTTTGATCTACTTATTACTCTTGATTCGCTCACAGTTTCGACCTGCTTTTTAAATTTTTGATCTACCAATGTTTTTTCAAACATTTGACATCAGATTTCTTATCACCATTTGACGACACAGCAAATACGTCTATTTCAATAGAAAACTACAAATAATCACTGTCCTTCAATTGATTGAGCCTATTCTTCGTAATCATATTGGTTACGAATCTCACTGCTTGTGCTGTTTTCGACTTTTCAGTTTGGATTTTTAAAATCGGTGTATGGATTCTTTAATGGTGCTCTCATAGATTTTCCTAGACATTACTTAGCTTTATCCTATCTATGTTACCATCTTCATCTATCTGCAAAGATTTCGCCTGAATCTAGACGATTTTACAAGTTGTTGCAGACATTTTCCCCTTCCAGTTAATGGCAGCGGCGACGAAGAAGTTCGATTCGAAGAAAAACGTCTGGGTTGCTGACGCCGAGGAGGGATTCGTAGCTGCTGAGATCAAGTCCACTAAGGGTGACAATATTGTCGTTGTGACGAGTAAGGGAATCGAGGTTTGTTATTGATTCTACAGAATAACTACCTCTATATAGAAAACACTGAATGCGTATAACTTTTTAATAATCCTCGAATATTCAAATTTTATGTATCTAACAAAAATTAAAGGAAAACCCTACATCTCATGGTGAGCGCCAGTCATGGAAAAATATTCTTATCTGCCAAAAAACAGTGACCTCGTAGGAAAAGTTGTATACTAAAGCAGGAAATGGTTTTGACAACTGCAGAAAATTTTTCTCCCATTTATTTTTATCCAATATAAAATTTGGCCCTCTTGACCTGTACATTGGTTAAAGGAAGGCCACAGATCTTTCAGGTCAATTTTTTTATCCTCTCATGGAATCTGGTACCAGACCCCGTAAGGATGGGATTTTATTAGCACGGAGTTCGGAATCGAATTAGACACTGCGGTACAAGTCCCTAAGAGAATGAAATACAATATAGAAAGAAAAAACGAAAACTCGGAAAACAGTCTATAAGCAGTTTTTTCAACAAGTTTATTTATTTGTTTTTTTTTCAGAAAACGATCAAGAAAGATGAAGCACAGCAAATGAATCCACCAAAATTCGAAAAAACCGAAGACATGGCGAATCTGACATTTCTTAACGACGCCTCAGTTCTTCACAATCTTCGCCAACGATACTTCTCAATGATGATTTATGTGAATGTTACAGATTTTTGAACTTCTAGCAAAAAAAACTTGCCGTAAACCGAATCTGGCAAATTTAAAGGAGCTAGAAATTTCGATGTCTCCATTAGGACTCTTCAACAGTCAGTCGCCTTCTGTTGTTAGCAACATGTACAACGCCATTTGAAATCTTGTTCTGATACTATTTGCTTATTAGGTTATTTAGGAAATAGTGAAAAACACTAAACAATGAGACTAGCTTTTTTCCCTGTTTACTATGAGGCTACTATCCAACAATTTATCGATGGAGCGAGCAATTGTGCTAGCCGTTTTCCTTTACTCAAAAATAGAAATGAATCATAATAGTTCATATTTTGTTAGTGTTTAATTGGTCTATTATTGCAGCTGCCTCAGTTTCTCGTTTCCAGACTTACTCCGGTCTTTTCTGTGTCGTCATCAATCCATACAAACGTCTTCCGATTTATTCGGAATCTGTATGCCAAATGTACACCGGTCGACGTCGTAATGAAATGCCACCGCATCTGTTTGCCGTCGCTGATGAAGCTTACAGAAATATGCAAAATGGTATTTTTTCTTTTCTGTAACATAATAATCGATTCCACAATATTATTGTTTATTTAATATTTCCTCTGAAAAATACGAGTACAAGAGCACTTGGCAAAAACAGGACACCAACAAGGCAGAATAAGTGAAGTAAAACTGCCAAGTGAAATCGCGATACAAGCCAGAGTGCAAAAAAAATTTCGAAAAAAACCGCACAAAAAACAACCCTTCTATTTTGAAGCGCTCAGGTCGCTTTTATCACGTGAAGCCTTATAGATCAAGAGAACCAATCAATGCTGATCACTGGTGAGTCAGGAGCTGGAAAGACGGAAAACACAAAGAAAGTGATCTCATATTTTGCGATGGTCGGCGCATCACAAACGTTAGTGTTATTTTTAATTTTTAATTTATTTACTGTAAGTCAGCGTGATTTAGTTGAGCTTCAACTTTATACATGAACGCAATGGCAAGGCTTGGTGCCAGTCGTTGTCCCATTACCAACCCTCTCATTTGTGACCATTTTCGAGACCATCCAAAGGTTGAACAGTTCAAGAACTCCTTGGAAGGGCCAGCAACTGCTAAATTAACAAACCAAGCATGTTTATTGCTTTTTCGTGCTTCATACGGAGTTTGACGATGGCTTCCGCAGCGGAGTCATTCGACATGTTTGTATAAACGGCGGTAACGTCGAAGGACTCCATCACGTACGCGTTGTTGGATGACGCATTACGTTGGCGATCTAGGAATATCTGAGTGTTCGTAAGATGGGTTGGGATGGACTTCAGCAACTACTTTAGCACTAGATTTACGAAATACGTCAATCTGTAGATGAACCCGTCAACACAACTAATGATAAGACTAGTATTGAAATTGGAAAGGTCGGTAGACATAAGGTCTTCAGTGGATATTGAATGGACTTATGTTTAAATAAGTAAGTACTAGATGGGATATGTTGCTAATTCAAGTCCGAGCTGAGAATAACTGATAGTTTTAAACCAACCGCCTTTGCCGGTTTGACGCATTCACTGTCCAGTCTTCGGTACTGACTTTGGAATTCCTTTTCAGATGACGGGCTACAAACGGCGTTTATTTGTTGTGTCTTAGACTTTTTTTCCTAGCACAACACAAGTAAAATAAATTTTTAACTCCAAAAAGGCGTCAAATTCAGCATGTAATGAAATACTATTGTCCGGAAATACTAGTTTTTATAACAGAAGGAAAGCCAAGAAAGATAAATCAAGAGTGTCACTGGAGGACCAGATTGTGCAAACAAATCCTGTTCTTGAAGCATTCGGTGAGTTCCTACTTTTTTCTTTATAATGAAGTATCATATGTATTCACTATATTCTTGGGGAGAGAACAAGAGGTGTTACTTTATTCTTTATTGAGGGTAATGCTGACATAGCGGCAGATTTCACCCTCTTCAGGGCCAGAAAAGGTCAAATTGATTGCAATGTACCCACACAAACACTTCCTTAACCAAGCAGAAAAACTACTAAATCAGGATTTCAGTGGCACTGAATGAGTTTCCGACTGAATATTTCACGTGAAAGCCAACCGCACAGAGTTCAAATGGAAATGTAACGTGCCTTTCACATTAAAATATCAATCTTAAATACTGTGTGAGGCCACGCGTGATTAAGAGGCATTCCTCCCAGCACTTCATTTTCGGGTTCCTGGAATTTATCCAGAATGCTTCAAGAGTTTTGTGCGCTGAAGTTTTTGATTTCTGTGCGAGGATGCTAAATTCTACTTCAAAATCCACTCCCTTATGTCGGTGTCCTATGCACATCTATTGGAATATTTGACATTAGTTTAAGTTTACCCACAAAATATTCCTTTGCTGGGATGCAGAGTGGCCTACACGTTTCGCCAATGTATTCGTCTCCGCTATAGAACAGATCACATAAACTGTATCCAAACTCCTGCAATCAATCTCTACCGTTAGCGCATATTATACAATTGACGTATTTTTGCGTTTTTGACGCCCATTAGTTCTCAAACGCCTGCGGCTCCGTTTATATACAACGCGAAGCTGTATATCTCTTCACAGTAAAGACGGAGATTGCATGCACGAGTTTGGTTACAGTTTATCTGATACCTTCTAAAGCATGAGGAAATGAATACTTTACAGGCAAATTGTTGCCAGCTTAACCTTTCCGTGCTCAGAAGAAGGAGTAATCCACCGAAACGTCAGCATTACTGTCAAAAAAGAATAAACACCTCGCGTTCGCTTAACAATCAGGAACATAGTGAAGCACATTAACAATCCCAAGACTAGCAGAAATTCGGTTTTTGGAATTACTAAATATGTTCTCAATTTGAAAATATAACTGTGAATCTCTTGGTGCGCGTGTGGAGCGATGGTTAGAGGTGCTCTGCCATACACATGGATTCGATCTCGCGTTCACCGAGTCTTCCATACCTCCGAGGTCGGCGAATTTGTTCCAGACCTTTCTAGGAAAGTAGCACAACTGACTTGATACATCGTTAAGCCACAACAAGTCACTATAAAGGCCAGATATGACGTTCAATCACCCCAGGCGATGTTTAATGGAGTTGAATACATGGCGACATTCGTCGGGGATTGCAGCGCCGAGGGCTTTATCATTTTTATCCTTTAACTATGAATCCTAGAGTTTCTACCAAATTTATGGAAAAACATGAATTTAATAAGTTTATGAAGCTGTTCAGGTGGAATTAATCAGACATGTGCTTACAATATGACTGATAGCAAATTAACTCCATAGTTACGGGAAAACAAGCAATAGTTAATTATTTCTTATTGCGCCATGAGAATGATTTCTTCCGTATTCAGAATAGCCTTATATATGCCAGTGCAAAAGCTAGCAGTGATGCCTTCATCTAAAGTTGTTTTTTTGTAAAACGCAATTTTTACTAGGGAAAATCAATAGACATTCTTTGTTTCTCATTCTCTCTGGGCTTGATTTTAAGCAATGTTTTTAGAACAGTTTCTTATGTGACAAATCCTAGGAAATGCGAAAACAGTACGGAATAATAACTCGTCTCGCTTTGGAAAATTCATTCGCATCCACTTCAATAAAGCTGGAAAAGTTGCCGGGGGCGATATTGAACATTGTAAGTACTTAGTGAAGTTCACTATAGTATCTTGATATCTGGTTGGTATTATTCTCATAGTTTTATAATGAAATTTTTACGATTTGCTGGAAAAGTCGAGAGTAATCAAACAAGCACCTGGCGAACGATGTTATCACATTTTCTATCAGATCTATTCAGGTGCTGTTAAAGGACTTAAAGGTATGATGGTATTTTGCTGATTGCTGGTTTTTTATTGCAGTTTTAAAGAGCTATTCAGCATCACCTAATACATCTTTAACAGTGTGCATTGTTTTCAATGCAGTCCTCTTCCGATGTTATATTGGGCGTCGTTCTGTTGTCACAGAAAATAAAAAGATGATGACGCGAATGTCTTAACTTGTTTTTCCAACTACTTTTATCGATCAATATCTATCTTCTGTGTGGCTGTCCTTTGAAATCATCATGAACAAAGAATTTTCGCATTGTAAAACGTAACTGTCCACTGCGAAAAATAGGTGTAGCCAACAGAATAACAATTCAAGCAAACTTTAGTAGAAATCATAAGGATTTTTCGCATGAAAAAAATAGTGAATTCAGAAAAATTGATGCTCGACCGTCCTATTAAGGATTATCATTTCGTTGCTCAAGCTGAAACCACTATTGACGGAGTGGACGACAAAGAGGAAATGTTAATCACCGATGTTTGTTTTGCTACTTACGAGCACTTTTTCTTTCTTTTTCTTTTCTTTCTTTCGTTTCTTTTCCTAAAACGAAAGCGATAATAGTAATAATCATTCAAAACATAGAATATTACCTAATGACCGATAGTCTTTGGGCGCAGATTGTGCTTCGGAAGAATAGAAAGTGCTCTCGTTCACAAAAATTCGATCATTAGAAGGTAGTACAGCCATTTGGTAAAATCGCTATAAAAATTCCCGCAGTTGTTTCCATAATCTTCATTTGCTGCCCATTCTGTGTTCACGGTAGGGTATTACATGAGGAACGAAGGGGATGCTGAGATATGAATGGAACTTGGAACCTCAGATGAGCTTCGAATCCGTGGTTAGCCTTTCCGACGCTCACGTGAAATCCACCACACCAGCCCAGGCACTTGCTTTGCCTTTCTCTCAGCCTGTTTTTACCTTAATGGTTCTATCAGCAATCATCTGTTAACGGGAATTATCTGGGAGCATAAATCGGTATCATACGTAGTTAAGCTGAAAATGTCGTCGAAGCGACAATATTTTAACTTTTATTTATTGCCTAATCCCTTTACATGGAACAGGATTATCTGATATACAACCACAAGCATGTTCAGATATGAAACATTGAGGACATAACTGAGTTCAACGCCGATTTGTGGTTCTCAGCTCATTCCCAACAACAGTTGATTATTGGTAGCAGCGACGAGATAAAAATATAGTTGAGGGATAAGCAAGGCAAAGGCCTCGGTCGTGCAGTGAGTAACACGTGAGTCTCAGGAAAGTGTAATCACAGGTTTGAAATTCATCTGACGTCCTGAGTTCTGCTCATATTTCAGCATTCTTGGCCTTGTAAGTTTAATTTATAATGAGTTTAGAAGATAATAAGTAGTTAAAAAAGGATAAAGCTCCCGGCATTGATCAATCCTTGAGGAATGCGTCATGCATTCGACTTCACTGAATATCGTTAGAGGTGATTGAATGCATATCTGGCCTTTACAATGAATACCGGTGGCCTACCGTTGTATCGAGCCAGTGCTGCTATCCTCCCAGATAAGTCTGGTACCAGTGTGCTGACTCCGGAGGGATGGAAGGCTTGGGGAGCAATGGGCGCTGGGATCGACTCCACGTGTGTCACAATGGCGTCTCCAACCACTGTGCCACACAATAAGTAGTTTAGCAGCATAAATTACATTTATTAGCTTCTAGTTCAACATACGTCCAAGGATTCTAGAACGAGCACAGGCTTTAAGTATAGCGACTTTAGAACAATTCTAACGATTGAAAAGCCGTTGAACTTTGGCATTTTTTTCCAAAAAAGGTTTCGAGATGAAATCTACCAGGCTGTTCTTATTCACAATTGCTTTTTCATCGTTAGCCATTCAACATTTCTCTGTCATTTCTCAACCTTTCGGCTTTCAGGAAGCCTTCGATATAATGAAGTTCAGCCAACAAGAAAAAGATGATTTGTTTGCGATTACTGCTGGTTAGTAACAAATGTTCTATCATATTTTCTTATGAAAGATGTCTTACTCTTTCTCAGCAAAATGTTCTACTTTATTTTTAGAAAATCTGTTACTGTACTTCCAGTCTTTCCTTATAATTGGTGAAACCTTCAGGTATTATGCATATGGGCGAGCTGAAGATCAAGCAGAGACCCCGAGAGGAGCAAGCTGAACTGGAAAACGGCAAAGGTTAGCAAGACTGTTTCGGAAGGTCTAACTACTTCTACGCTACATTTTTGCTAACGTTTCTGCTAGTTTGATACCAATCAGCCCATTTTTATACTGAGATAGTATTTTAGTTTCATTGTATCGAGGATTTTTGTCAGTTTGAAATTCTTAGCGCATTCATTCTATTTGTGAATTCCTTCGTTTGGTTTCAATCACAGATAAACTGGTAAATGAGGACTTAACGAAATAAGAAAAAAGGTAAAAGAACGAAAAAAATTTACGTTATTACCAACGTTTCTTTCGTTTTTCTCATATCAAAGTTTTACTTGCTGGTGTAACTCTACTATTACTTCGTTCTCATGTCTAGTCACTCTCATTCTCATCCTGAGTCATTGCTCCCCATTCTTAGTATTTACTCCCTTAGCCTTGCTTTTATTACTAAAATTGTTTTTAAAAGTATTTCTATTATAGAAGGCGAACTTGCTTGTAAACTGTTCCATGTAGACTTCGAGAAATTCGTTGGCTCTTTACTTAAACCACGAGTGAAAGTTGGCTCAGAATGGGTTAATAAGGGACAAAATCTCGAACAGGTTAGTGTTAGAGTAGAAAATTTTCAAAAGCAGTCATTTCACTGAAACATGCCACTTCTATTCCTATCATATTTTTCAAAACCTCTCAAGATCTTGAGCAGTAAGAGTAGTAATTTGGCATCTGTTTGGCGCGTGTAGAATGGTGATTAGAGGTTTCCTGCAATATAAGCGTGGCCATTGATTCGACCATGCTACCAGGACACACCAGCCCTTCAATCCCTCTGGGGTCGGAAAATTGGGACCAAGCTCGTTTTTCAGGAGATCAGAGCTGGTTTAATAGGTAGGTAGGCCACCGAGAGTCATTGTAAAGGACAGATATGCAACTAATCACCTCCAAACGATGTATAATAAAGTCGAATGCATGGCGCGTCCTTCAGGGATTAATAAACGCCGAGAGCTCTTTTTATGGCGCATACGTCGGGGATTGATCAATTTCGAACCACCTTTTTCAATTTAACCTATGCATAAGTGACATGGGTTGAGCAGTGGGAAAGCTGTTTTTCTTTGATGATTCTGGCGTCAAACGATTGCTTCAGATAATCGCCGAAGATTCCACAACGCTAAAAGCGGCATTTCGTTTTTCACGTAGAAAAGCTGCCAGTTACTCTGAAATCGACCCTATTGATCACGTATACACATTCGTGTTTACGCCGCAGTGGTAAAAAAAACAAAAAATTGTGGACTTTGCGGCGTAGTGGTTTAAGGTGCTTTGTCGTGAACAGATAATCGCTGTTTCGACTCCTCTCACTACTCAGTACGCTCTAATATAGTTGTCTCATAGAAAAACGCATTCCATTAAATTCATCGGAAAGCTACTCAAATTTTTTGTACTATGAACAAAACGTTAAAGTTTCATCGATTAGGTATTTCACAGTAACCGTTTCATTTAGCCAAGAATGAAGATAAAGTTATTTTTAGGTAAACTGGGCACTGGGTGCTCTTGCCAAGGCGCTGTATGCTCGAATGTTCACGTGGCTCATAAACAGGTAGCGGTTTGCACTACGTGACATACTTTAGTGGAAACCTCATAGAAAGCGGCTCTGAAGAAGGCGAAATCCGCCGAAACGTCAGCTTAATCGTGAACAAAGAATAGTAACACCTCGCGTTTGCTCAACAAAAATACGAAGAAAATCGCTTTCCAAGAATTGAAAGAACTGGTTAAAGCGCTTCAACTCATTGAATGACGGCAGCTAAAGTGCGTACGGGTGAAAACTGATGAAACTGAAAACATGACAAAGAGAAAAAATATCCAGTAGAAAACAATTCACAAGTAGTATTACTGAAAAATACTGTCTTAGTAGCATTTGAGAAGGACTTTTATAGTCGTGTATAAGAGCATAAAAATTGGGAAAAAAATCTCGAATAGATCACACAAATGCAAAAACCTACTCGATAGAAGAGTTTAGCAGGCTATTAGTGGTTGGCCTCTCCTCAAGGACAGTAGAAATAAAAGGGTTTGTACCAAAAGAAAGAATGAGCCGTCTTGTATCCTTCGAAGTAGCAGACGCCACTGGATGCGTTCTGAGTGCAGCAGGGAGAAGTAGAGACTCTACCGGCCCCAGCTCGAGTGCCTCGCTATTTGATTGGGATACAAGTAATCTAGGTTGTATGTGGAAAGACACAATAGTCCTAATACACAAAGAACGAAGACAACAAGCATGATGCCATTTCACATTGGGGTTACTCGGTTCGCTTCTTCAGTTCTTTGAATTCTGCCGACAAACTTTTTCAGATGTAACAGAACTCTGGATGCTCAAGATCTCTCTCGGGATTTTTTCATTGGTGTGCTTGATATTGCCGGTTTCGAGATCTTTGATGTGAGTTGCTTTGTACCACAGTAGAACTAGAAAAAGTTTTAAAACTATCATTGTGCTGAATGCCAATACTATTTTATTAAGTGTGGTTTTTCCTATGGAGACGGTATGAAGACGTAACAGAACGTTCAGATATCTGTCGCTGAAGTAGATATCGCCTTCTATAAATTCTGGAAAGAATAAATTAACAAGAGGCTCACTGGACGAGCTATTTCGATAATCTTATCGGGGGTTTTCCATAAATTAATGAGGAGAAAATTTATACTGAGAATTAGCAGACATTTTTTATGAGGAAGTAGGAACGGTCGGAGACGGAATGGTGTGGAATCGGTGCAACTCATTGCTGCTATGTGAGAAATAGCCTTCTCTAAAGCTCTATCTTTAGGTTACATTATACAACCCTATTCCAATATTATGACCATTTTTGGGTAATATTTATTAATATCATGATTTTGCCTCCAAAATACTGAAACCAGCTCTTCTTATTACAACCTTGAAGGAATAGCATATTAAAAGTGTTAATGTATTGAAAGGTGATAGAATAAGGGCGAAGCCGTCGCAGGCGCCCTGCAACACAAGTGGAATCGATGCCCGCGCCCATGGCCCACCAAGCCTTCCACCCCTCCGGAGTCGGCAAATTGATACCATATTTGCCTGGGAGATAGCACCACTGGCTTGATACATCGGTGGGCCACCGCGAGTAATTGTAAAGCCCAGATATGCATTTAATCACCTCTAAACAATGTTTAATGAGGCCAAATGCATGGCACATCCCTAAGGGATTGAGTAGCGCCAAGAGCTTTATCCTTTGCCCTTTTCAATGAATTGAAAGTGAAAGAAAGGAACTATGAGATCGGATAACCCAACGTGAACAGTTGCAAAACTTTAGGAAATCGTTTTATGTTTCAATAAAAAAAATAAACGGCTACTAACAGTTTGTTGACGTGTTTATCCTTCCTTCATCTTTTCATCTTCTCTACTTTTAGCACAACTCATTTGAACAACTCTGGATTAATTTCGTTAACGAGAAACTTCAACAATTCTTCAATCATCATATGTTTGTACTTGAACAAGAAGAATATTCACGTGAAAGCATTCGTTGGGAGTTTATCGATTTTGGGCTTGATCTACAAGCATGTATTGATCTTATCGAAAAAGTAAGTTTACCAGTTAAAGCTTATAATGCCAAAAACTGCGAAAATATATACCTTCTTGCTGAAAAACAAAGTTAAAATTAAAAATACTACTTCATTTACATGTAATTTGGTTTATCCACGAAGAATGAACCATCCATTCAACTTTCAGATCGATTAGCTTTAGGGTAACGCTAGAAGGTTCAGGTAGATAAGCTCCAGCCTAGGGCTACAAGATCAAAATCGATTAGTTTCAGTTTAAAGCTGGGAGATCCAGATAGATCAACTTAGAGCTGAAAGATAGCTCAGCTTAGATAAGAAAGCCTACCTCTGTCCATGATGATTCGATACGCAGGGACGCATTCTGTATTTCAGCCACTAGGAGTGATTTCGATGCTTGACGAAGAATGTATCGTTCCAAAGGCCACGGATTTGACCTTAGCCTCAAAACTTAATGATCAACATCTTGGAAAGCATCCGAATTTCCAGAAACCAAGACCTCCGAAAGGAAAACAGGTGAGTGTTAAGCTAACAATTAAGCTAAAAGGTATTTGAATGGCACAATTGGATTTAAAGTATTACGCATTGAATATAACTAGTTTATGAAACGGGTTGAGTTAGATCAATTCATCTTTATTGGGAAAAGATGAGTTAAAAATCATTTCCACATAATTAGTTACGATTCCACGTTAAGTAAACCTAACTGCCTAGTATAAACCTCGCTCAGTTCTTTGTCGATGATCATGAGCATAGAGCTCATCGCCGACTTACAGATGGTGGCGCTCGAGTTCTTACCTACGCTATCCTACTAATGTTTCATCATGAATTGCATAATCTTTTTTCTAACCTAATGAAATGACTTCCTTCATACTTTTTATGTTTTATACTTCGTGAATTTGAATGGTGTAACCCTGAAAGGTTATCGATTCAACGATAAATTGGCCACAATTCCTATAGATTCCTAATAGGCGTTTCCCATACCTGGGTAAACTTACTTCCATTATTGACAGATTTCCAACGTATTTATTGAAAGAAGACAGGTTATAAAAGAGTAAACGAAAAGGATTGTCATTTGTGAAGTTCTGTTTTAGGATGAAGCACATTTTGCCATTATTCACTATGCAGGTACGGTAGGATACAATGTTAAAGGATGGTTGGAAAAGAATAAGGTATGGTAGAGGATTTATCTCATTGACTATTCTATTGCCGTAACCTAGTGTTTCATGTCGGACCCTGCCATGAAGAAAGAATGGGCAGTAAATGAAAGATAAAATTTAGTGTTTTATGTTCAGGATCCTTTGAACGATACAGCTGTTACAGTATTGAAAGCAAATAAAGGAAATCAGTTACTATCGGATCTGTGGGCAGACTATAACACTCAAGAAGATATCGTCAACCTCGGTAAAAAAGCTCCCGGAAAGAAGGTCTGTCTAACAATTGAGATTTTCAAGCATTTTTATATATGAGCTACACTTCTTAGGAAAAAAAATCGTTTCAAACGAGCAAATTTACAACTGATAATGATTGACGCTAGGCATGAAATATGTAAAATCCATGCTTTATAGGAATACAGTATAAAATGTGAAGAAAACTGGAATAGAATGAGTGCTAATGTAATGCTAATACATGCTTGCTGCTAATATTTATGTAAAAGATGTTTAACACCTAATATATCCACTCAGTAGTTTCACTGCGGTGCGTGTGGTGCAGCGGTCAGTGGCACCCTGCAACACACACACAGGGGATGGATTGATCTCCGTGCCTAGGGTTCATCAAGCCTTCCATCCTTCCGAGGTCGACAAATTGGTACCAGACCTGTCTGGGAGGATAGCACCACTGGTTCGACACATCGATAGGCCACCGCGAGTCATTGTAATGGCCAGATATGCATTCAATCACCTCCAAACGATGGTTAATAAAGTCGAATGCATGGAGCATCCTTCAGGGATTGATCAACGCTGAGAGCTTTATCTTTTATTTTTTTATAGCTTTACTATTTTTTTAATGAGGTCCTACAAAACACTTTAAAAATCCAATGTTGGTATAAATATTCGAAACCAGTTATCATTTGCATAAAGAAAATGTTTTTATGCCTGACTACACAAGTGCTAATTTTACTATACTCTTCTACACAAGTTAGTAGACATGAGTTCGTTTGAAGACGATTTACAGGAGATGTGCCTAGTAAAAATGGCACTTGTTAATGAAGATACAAGGAAACACGGTAACGATTCTTTATAAGGCATATGTTCAGGGCAAATCTGCATCGTTTATGACGGTATCGATGATATACCGTGAATCACTGACCAATCTCATCCACATGTTGAATCAAACACATCCGCACTTCATTCGTTGTATCATTCCTAACGAACAGAAAAAGAGCGGTAAGGAGTTACCGTAATCCGAATAGTTGCTGGATTACTTACAGCACCAAACTACGATATTGCTCGTGGACGTGTTGATGATTTAAGACAGAGTTTGATCGAAACTTCCTCTAAACATTGTCTTAAACAACATACAGCCATTTCATTTTCTACATTATCTTGCAAGGGATGAATCAATTTCTATCCTTAGGTGTAATCGAAGCGAATTTGGTACTTAATCAACTTACTTGTAACGGTGTACTGGAAGGAATTCGTATTTGTCGTAAAGGTTTTCCCAATCGTATGCCTTATTCGGATTTCAAACAAAGGTAAGACTATGATGCCATCATATACCACCACTGCTGGCACTTAAGGTCCAACGTGACTTGATTTTCGCTCACACCATGCTATCTAACAGCCGCACTAAGACTAGAATTTAAACCGGCATGTTCGAGCTCAAAATGAAGTTTATTATTTGAAGAAAAAATATCAGAATGTGCAAATCCTTTCCTACAGGATAGATGCCCTCATAGTTTACAGTGATGAAATCTTAATTATTTCGACCTCATCGAACATATTCTGCAGTCTTTTTTCACTTGTATTTCGAAAATGAAAGCAACTGAACAAGCGTTATCTTGTCCATTAGAGTGCAGTGATTTCTGCCAATCGTAGTAGTTTGTGCCTGTTGGACAGTCGTTTGAAATTTTAAAAAAATGAACATCATTCTCGTTTCTTCTGGAGATTTCGATTTCAAACAACTTAAAAAACCAATTAATGGTTTTAAAAATAATAGTCATTCTTAAATAGATAGAGCAAAGTCTTTCAGCAAGCATTCATGTCTCGAACTTTCCAAATACGTCAGTTATCAAAAATATTATCAGCAGTTTGCGAGAGGTCGCCTTGAGACCCTAAATGTTACTTGGCTCATATTTCCACGATGAGCCAAAAATAACTAGACCAAATGATTCTTAAACCTCAAGCAAAAAACCACATTTTGTTCTCAGATATGCCTTACTGACTGCTGATGCCATTAAAAACGCAAAAACCGACAAGGATGCCGGTGAGATAATCACTTCCATACTCACCAACAAAGGATCTTTGAAGGTTGAAGAATTCCAATGCGGTAACACTAAGGTATGCTGCCAAGAACAATGTTATGTTGCATGACTTGGATTAAAAACCTCGCTAACATTAAGGAGCACCCTCATAGCTTTTTGATATAGGTTTGATGTATTCAGATTTATAAGTCTTGAGTCTTAAACACTAAATTCGCATGTTAGAGTGAAGTGACTTCTTTTAGGAGCAGACAGAATGCAGTTCTCGAAGACTGTTAATTGCCTTGAGCGCTATGTGAAGACTTTCTCAACTCGATGAACTTTGCTAACAGCATGAAGGCGTTCACTTTCATTTTTACTAACTTTACTCTTGTTAATTATCAAACAAGTGGCTACCATTAAATTTTTCATTCTTATCCGTCGCACCTCCCAACGGTATTTACCACCTCATCGTGGCTGGGAGGTGTTCCTGTGTGTCGGACTGCGTTGTACAGTGGAAGGATTCGTCTTCCCGATAGGGTCTCCCAAGCTAAAAAGGTGTTCGGCGTTTCTACCAGAAAGCCAAGCTAAAAGTAAACCAATACCAGGATCCACCACCGTTCTGGTATCAAAGTCGCATAGTGGCAAATCTCCCTCTGATCCACAAGGGCTGCGGCTGCTTGTGGTGGTGAAGACCTGGGGCAGACTTTAACCACGCTCACTTCGGGATTCCAGGAAACCACAATAGTTTAACCAGCAAATCTCCGAAAAATGGTGATTATGCCGGGGCCCGCACAACCAGTGAGGGCGGGCCGGTCAAGTATCAAGTATCAAATATCCGTCGCAAGCCGAAGTTGTTATACAGGCCTACCCTATACGAGAACAAGAAGGGCGCTATACTTTTTGCGGTAATAGGTCAATTATTCCTACTGCTTCTTGACTATACTGCAGCCATCATAGCAAGAAAGAACTCGATATAACATTGCCACTGATGTACTCCTAGAATGGATTGTAGATAGAAATACCGCGCTCCTTTCTGGACTAGATGCCCCCACCCTCCACCCCTCCCTTTGTGCATCGCAGCTTAACGACAAGAATACTAGCGGGCCATGATAAAGCGATAAAATAGGAAGACGAGAATAAAGCTTTTAACAGTTCTTTCCTTTTTTCTTCTCTTCTAGCAAAAAGTTCTTCTAACAAAGCTTTTAACGCTATCCGAAAACAAGAAAGACTTTTTTGTTTGTTAACCAGGATTATCAAGTTTCTGAATGTGACTATCTATTGATCCTAACTCATCGACTAGTGATTTTTCTTCTTGGTCTCGTTAGGAATGTAGTATTTTATTGTCGGGTTCTATAGATCCTAATTTGTTCTGTAGTGTTGTTCAAGTAACGTCATTTAAAGAGTGAAAGTTGTTTGACAGCATACGCAATTCCACAAGTGAATATACGACGCTTCAACTTCAAAACTGTACAATCATGTTCCAGGTGTTCTTCAAAGCTGGTGTATTGGCTCATCTTGAGGAACTACGCGAAGCTGTCCTGTCAGTGATCATCACAAAATTTCAATCTGCTTGTCGACATTATTTAGCATTGTGTGAATACAAAAGAAAAATCGATCAAAAGTGAGTTATTAGTGTTTCCAGAAAAACACTGCATTATTTAAAACCACTGACGGAGATAAGTCAATGAAAGGTTGAAGGCACGGTAATGGTGTGGGTACATAAACGGCACCATAACTGACACCATTTTTGACGAGAAAGGTGAAATGTATATTAGTATAAAAATAGTATAAATGAAGTATAGTAAATCATGCAGTATCTCGCCTATCCTCTAGGTAATGTTCACGCATTCGACTTCAAATCGTAGAGTTAATTGTGTGATTAAACCACCAATACAGTGACCCGATAGATCTTGTTCTAAGATAACTCTGACGCAAATTTATTAACTCGGGAAGAATGGAAGACTTGCTGAGCCCGTGGCTCGAGATTGAACCGAAGACCATATGCGTACTGCAAAGCATCTTTAGCCACTGCATTACACGAATCAATAATATTCATTAGCCGTGCCTATTCCAATATGATTAAGTATTCATTCATATAGAAATAAAAATCGTACTTCAGAGTTGGACTTTTGGTGATCCAACGCAATGTTCGGGCATGGTGTACACTTCGCACGTGGCATTGGTTTAGATTATACGGTAAGGTCAAGCCACTCATCAAAGGAAGTAAAAAGGAAGAGGAAATGGAGATGCTAAAGAAAAAGTTGGTTATTTTTGTTCTCAGCTTTTCCATATGGATTTAAATACTATTCGATTTTCTAATAAGTCAAAAGACCGACTGAAAACCCTGGTATAAATGACCGATATATTTCTTTACATATTCTTACGAGCTGATTTTGTTGGGCTGATACGAGGTTGACATAGCTGCCGCTGCTGTTGTTGTTGGTCGACAGGTGTTTCAGCGATTTCGCCTTCCTCAGACCCCGGAGACATTTTATGCAAGAATAGCTTAGTAATTCGGTGGATTAAAAACCAAAGTATTAATGGAGATCTAGCATATAAATAGGTGCCATATTGATCAAAAACTACCCACTGTGCTGTTACAAATGGGACTGACCGCACGTTGTTCACGTGGGATGCCGTGCCAGACTCAGCCAGGTCAAAAAATCATGATATAATGTTGACCTTTTTATTTACTGCCTTTTATAAGTTTTCATGGCAGAGAATTATTTGTGAAACAATGATGTTGATATATTTGCAAAACTCCGGACCGCAGGTGTCTGCGGTGGGGAACGAATGCGCTATTGTCCTTTCCGGGGAGTAACGAGTTCACCACCACACCATGCGGGTGCTTCGTTTCGCCTGTCTCCCAACTATTTCTATCGATCACTACCATCAGCAATCACCCGTCAACGGAATTGGTCTGGGAAGCCCAAATCGGCATTGGACCCTAAATGAATTGAATTTCAACTATAGCGGTACGAAGAGGAAACCACTTGTGTCAGATAAAAGCGTATAACTCTTTCCCAAAATAATGTTTCGAACCTAAATAAGATTCCTTTTAAGCTACGCTTCATATCAAACGAAATAAGTTAGGCCGTTAAGGAGTACTTATGAAAAAGTGGTCTTGAAAATTATGTGGCGGTTTTATTGACCTCCCACCTAGTACTCTATGCCTACGATTGTTTGTGCAACTCAGAAAACTGTATGATCTGCCCTAACAGGAGAGACGGAGACTGCATGAGTTCAGGTACAATATACCTACCTATCGTTTGGTGAGAAATATATTGGGGAACGGGTAGACCGCTTTATTTCCGCATAAAAGAACATCTACATTGGAGAGTCGAAATTCGTCGAAGCACTCCGCTAGGTACACATAGGGCACAAGAGCACAATGGCGGTGATTTTGAAATGAATGTCCGGATACGAGCGCAGGCATTGAAAACATCAACGCAGAAGACTCCTGAGGCGTTTTGGACAAATTTCAAAAATCCAGAAATGAACTGGGAGGACGAATGCCTCACTATCAGACGTGATCTGGCGCCTTATTTCAAAATGATTTTTTGACCTGCCTGAGTCTGGCTCGGCATCCCACGTGAACAACGCGCGGGTAGTCCCACTCGTAACGGCACGGTGCGTAGTTTTTGATCAATATGGCGCCTATTTATATGTTGGATCTTGGTTAGTACTTTGGTCTTTTTCATCGAATTATTGAGCCATTCTTGTAAAAAATACGTCCAGGCTCTGAGGAAGGCGAAATCGCAGAAACGCCAGTCGTCGACAACGACAACAACAACAACGACAACCACACCAACCTCGCATCAGCTCAACAAGGGCGCTTCATAAGAACATAAGAATAAGAGCATATAAATAAATATTCAATTTTTATTTTTCGAAAAAACGTCCTTCATTTATGAAATTGCTACTTGTTGTGCTGTAATATTTTATTCATGTTTGCACACAGATTTTATTGCCGCTCACCGAACATCATTTTCTCAGTGAGTTAACAACAATATAAAAAATTGTAGTAGTAGGTGTATTAGGCCCTCTCCGTTCCATCTCCCACTAGTTCATTGACCTACCATGGCTAACCTGAGCAGTTTCTTCACACTCATGCATGAAGGTAGTTCAGCTTTTCGTGCATATCTTCCACTGCAATTTGAGGATTGCTCTTCTATCCTCTAGCTGAGATGACAAATGGTACTTGAGCGCGGTTTCCTTTGAAGTGAACCGTTCTTGAACATCTAGGCTCACCACCACAGTCAGTCATTACTGTTGTGGACCGTAGAGATACTTGCTTGTTTGCGACGACGGTACTTCAACGACAGGGAAGAAGACTTTGGCATCAGGAAATCCTATGCCTAGGTCGCAAACAGGGTCTGGCCGAATCGTTTCCGAATATTCAAGATTCATTAGTCGGAAACTGAAACTTACGTTTCTTCTTTGGTTATTTTTTTCTGATGTTTTTCATGACGGCAAAGTCCGCTATATTTTCAGATAGAACTAATGTACGTAGTTTTGTATAGTGGTTTTTTCAGATATAAAGAACTCGAGGAAAATCATCATACTGAGGAGCGCAAACGAAAAGACGTCGAAGCCGAGAATGCTCGCCTTCAGGTGAATACCAATTGGGCTTTTAATACATAGGTCTTCTAGTTAATGAAGAAATAAACGGTACCTATCTAGGCTGAAAAGCAAGCGATACTCATGCAGTTGGAACGAGAACGTGATGAAATCTCCGAAATCGAAGAACGTAGTGCGAAATTGCTCGCTCAAAAAGCGGACACTGAAAAACAGGTACCGTAGCCTAATACCGCATCGTTACCGTATATCTTAGCAGCTTCTTAGTTTAGTTGATCGTAATCTTGATCGTAATTTTACCTATACCGCTTTCAACTTGAAAGAAGGAACGAATATGGCCAACAGCCGTTATTCTAACCTTGTTCTATTAGTGCTTTGAGATTTAACTCGTTCAATCCACATGATAAGAACTTTTCGTTCTACCTCCTATACCTCGAAAGAAAAGAGGGGGAGAGGGTGTGCGTACAACTTCTTATTAATGTTAATTAACTAATATACAATAGTATTATCGATATTACAATATGAATGTGTCGTTTTCTTGTTCAGCAATCGCGAGGTTTTTAAACAGCATACATTTACTTCCATAAAAACACAATACAATACAACGCTAGCTGACGTTTCGGNAGTATCGCCTTCTTCAGAGCCGCTTTTTCGTGACTTCCAATGAGAAAGTTTAGAACAGCTGACAAGAGTCGTCAACCACATGCGACTATAATCAGCTGTTCTAAACTTCCTCATTGGAAGTCACGAAAAAGCGGCTCTGAAGAAGGCGATACTGCCGAAACGTCAGCTAGCGTTGTATTGTATTGTGTTTTTATGAAAGTAAATGTATGCTGTTTAAAAACCTCGCGATTGCTGAACAAGAAAACGACACATTCATATTCCAATGCCGAGGTTAAGAGAAAGTCGATCCTGGGAGATATTACAATAGTTACACTACATTATAGAACGCAGATCTCAACGATCAGCTTGCCGATCAAGAAGAACGAAACGAGACATTGGCTAAGGCAAAAAAGAAAGTAAGAAAAATCAAGCCATCACTGATTCCACATACGGGGTCCACAAATTCTATCCAGAAATTTTTAGATTGAACAAGACAACGAAGCACTAAAGAAAACAATGGCTGATCTGCAAACAACTGTGAAAAAACAGGAAAATGAGAAACAAGGCAAAGATCATCAGATTCGATGCCTACAGGTGAGTAAGAATAATAACAACAACATAGCAAGTAAATTGATTGACAGAATTTCAGGATGAAATAGCTTCACAGGATGAGCTTCTCTCAAAGATCAACAAAGAGAAGAAGCATCAAGAAGAGGTGAGTAAATAACTAAAATAATGAGAACATTCCCATTTGTGCTCTCTTTATTTATAAGGAAAGTGAATGAAAGCATACAATTTATGAATCAAAATCATTCTGATTCATCAGAAGCTCTGCAATAGGTCAAATTTTCAAAAATGCAAGCTCATTTCAGGTAAATCGAAAGCTTTTGGAAGACATACAAGCACAAGAGGACAAAGTGAACCATGTCAATAAAGTAAAGGCTAAATTGGAATCTACTCTAGACGATATGGAAAACTATCTCGAGCGTGAAAAACGCAGTCGGCAAGACATCGAAAAGCAAAAACGTAAAGTTGAAGGGGAACTAAAGGCGAGTAGCGGTACGTTAAAAAAATCAGTGACGGCATATCAAAGGAAAGGTGCCAGATTGCTTGTTGATAGTCGTTTTTGTGGTGGGCATCTGCGCATGAAGAAAATTCAATAGGAAACATTACTTCAGCGATGATCTTTCGAATTTGACATTTCACATATCAAAAAACCGAAGAAGGATTTTTTGTAAAAGAACGATGACGAAAAAAATCAATATTAAATCTATATTATGCATTGACGGGGCACCATTCCGCGAGCATCCATATTAATCAGAGAGTTGAGAACATAGTTATCCGGAACTCAAATGCAAAATTCTTTGCTACGATCTAGAGATAAATACCACTGTAAGGAACGTTACTAGGCTCTTCTCTTACCTTAAATATAACCCTTTTTATGAAATAAATGAGCCGATTACAGATCGCTCAGGAAATGATCGAAGAGATTACACGACAAAAGAACGAACAAGAATCACTTATTAAAAAGTGAGCTTTACCCTTCTTCATTATATGCGTGTTTCAGGCTTTGTGGTTAGAAAGAAAAAAACTCTGGCCCGAAAATTTCTCGGATACTTAAGAGAAAGTGGAATAGTTCCGTCCGGAAATATAAAATGATTTTTATGAAGGTGAAAAGCCAAGTATTGATAAGAGAATCAGAATGAAAAAATCTACAACATCCATATGTCACCATATTTTCATTGCTAGTTAGGCCACCTTTTTCCAAAGAAGAATTCCATCACATTCCTGTTCCCTAGTGAGATACAGTAAAACTTAGTGATTTTATATTTTATATCACTTAATTATGTTTTTAAAAAGTATGTTTTTCCGCACTTTTAAGATCCACCTCAACGTTTCCATTAGTTTTTCTCTTCAATTATCCTACAGACTCTTACAAAATACGGCGAAAGTAGAGAGCTGTGCCAGTGATTTTTTAACTAAATTAATTTAATAAACTTTAAAGTAGCTTAGAAAACGTAAACTGCTTTAGAAAGGATGCAGAGATTACATCATTGGCGACGCGTCTTGAGGATGAACAATCACTGGTTGCCAAACTACAACGAATAATTAAGGAGCTACAAGCACGAATTCAAGACTTGGAAGAGGAACTAGAGGCGGAGCGTCAAAGTCGAAGCAAGGTAGCTCTTTTCTCGAATCGCTTCAGACAATGAAGACGTTTCTTCTATCTAGTCATTTTTTTTTCAAGGCAGAAAAGGCAAGAAACGAAATGCATCTGGAATTAGAGGAACTAGGAGATCGACTTGATGAAGCTGGTGGTGCTACACAAGCACAAATGGAGCTGAACAAGAAACGTGAAGCAGAGGTTCACTTCTCACTAGATGTTTTCTTTTGTTCTTCTTAAATGGGAATGTGAAGCTTGTGCAAATATTTTTTTTTGAATCATGATGGAAATCTTTAAAAACATTGAACATAATGATAGTTACAGTTGATTAGACAGCAAATGGCCATGTTAAAGATAAAATTCACCAGCGTTAATATTAATTCGTTTATAAAAAGTAAATTTAGCATGCCAGCACATAGTGAGTATGAAATATCTTCTGGTAAAATGTCTGTCTCTCTATTCTATCCACTGCTTCTGCTATCTGCTTAATCCTTGTTGTTTGTTACCCACTTCTTAAATTTCTTATTCGTATAACCATCTTTCTGGAGCGCGTGTGGCGCACTGGTCGGAGGCGCTCCTGCAACACACACATGGGATCGATCCCCGCTGCTATGGCCCACCAAGCCTTCCTTCTCTCCGGAGTCGGCAGACTGGTACAAGACTTGTCTGAGAGGATAGCAACACTGTCTCGATACATCGGTAGCCACTGCAACTCGTTGTAAAGGCCAGATATGCATTCAATCACCTCCGAACGATGCTTAATGAAGTTTAATGCATCCCTCAAGAATTGATCAACGCCGAAAGCTTTATCTTCCACCCTTTTATAACAATCTTTTTAATCCAATTACTGGATGTGAAAATTACATACACAGTTTTCAGAGTTTCGAGGAAACTACTAGATGATGTTAACTTTCAAAAAGATTGTTCATTTGACCGAGTGTGACAATATTTGATCACTTATTCACTTAAGTGAAGAAAAACTTTAAACTCAGTTCATGTTGAGCATAATTTTGTACATAATACTCCAATATTCGGATATTCGACGACAATTTTCCACAAATGAACACATTCTAAACGTATTGATCGACTTGTGTACGGTTATGTGTTGCAGTTGGCGAAACTACGTCGAGATCTTGAAGAGGCGACGATTAATAGTGAAACGATGATGGTGGCATTGAGGAAAAAACATGCAGAAGGCATTGCTGAATTGAACGATCAACTTGATACAGTACAGAAATTGAGAGCGAAGTCAGTTCAGTTGTAGACATGCATTGGCTTTTCTTTTTTCTTTCCTATTCTTTTTTTTTGGAAAATTTTTCATACTGCAACTACAGACAGCATCATTAGTGCTAGAAACTTAACGATGGTAGCTTTAAAACTCTTTACTCATTTGTTGATTATCCATGGATAAGTAGAATCTGCATAGCAAAGTTTGGGAAGCTTGTGACTCGTCAGCAGAAGAGGTGTAGCCTCTTGAACAGTTGATGGCATGTCATCACGCCAACTGAAATCGCCATGGAAGTGATTTGTTGGGTACCTGCTGCCAAATTCTTTTAGAAACAATGAAGCCTTACGGTACACGATTCACTGAAACGCTAAGTCGCTCATGCGCTGTTGTAAGTGAAAAGTCGTCTTTGTCGTTGATGTCTCAGCTCTGTTTGGCTGAGCTGAAAACTTCGACTAAAATATTAAAGTGAAGAGATGAATGCAGAGGCTTAACGGCATTCGTTGGTCGGTGGCTTTTTTGAATGTTTAGATTTCGACTCGTCCACGATGCTATTCCACATATTCATCCGTGAAAGTTGGGCTAAGTTCGACACGGAAATCTGACTTTGGAAAAGTAACTTTCTTATGGTAGTGGAGATGCGGTGCCTCGCATTTATGAACTATGATCTAAGCAATCTTGAAATTACTTGAAAAGCAGATGATAATTTCCAGTGGATTTTCTCGATATGTGATCTGCAGTAGTTTGTAATATTGTGATCGCTCTCATTTAATTCTTTCATTCCAAGCACTCCGTCTGTTCTGACCCAGTTCATTGGTCTTTCAGATTGTGCTATTGAAGCATCCCATGTCGAGGTGTCCTTGAAAAATCTAATAGTATTTCTGATACTGAGCTATTCTATCGAGGTTATTTCCATTCCACTTTTGTCCAAATAGCACACCTTGTTCAGACTTGAGAATGAGAAAGCGCAACAACAACGAGAGATTGAAGACCTACAAGCAGCTGTCGATAGTGAATCCAAGCAAAGACAGGTACGAAAAGAATTCATTACTCAGTCGAGTTATTTCTAGCAATGCATTTTTCTACTGGTCGAGTAAGTGAATCAAATATCAACTGCCACGACCGACTTTGTATTAACCTCGGCATTGATCAAGTGATTTTCTTCGTATTTTTGTTGAGCAAACGCGAGGTGTTACTATTCTTTGTTCACGATTAAGCTGACGTTTCGGCGGATTTCGCCTTCTTCAGAGCCTGAAAAGGTCAAGTTGATAGCAATCTACTTGGCCAGACGCCTCCATAACCAAAGAAAGAAACTCCAAACCAAGATTTCAATCACTTTGAACACAGCTTTGCACACTCACCGCTTTCTATGAGGTTTCCACTAAGTATGTCACGTAGAGACCAACCGCACAGAAATCACGTGGAAGTATAATGTGCCCCTCACATCAGAAAAGCAGTTTTATATACTGCCCTATATCACGCGTGATAATGAGGCATTCTTCCCTGCGGTTCATTTTCGGATTTCTGGAATTAATCCAGAGTGCCTCGAGAGTTTTGAGTGCCTGAAGAAGGCGAAATCTGCCGAAACGTCAGCTTAATCGTGAACAAAGAATAGTAACACCTCGCGTTTGCTCAACAAAAATACGAAGAAAATCAAATATCAACTTTTCTGATGAGAGATGAAAAGCTGAACGTATTTATTACTTCTTCCTTAAATAGTACTCTTTCATGGCAAGCTTAAGATAACCTAGCTCTTACCCACGGGTACCTTAAAACCTCGCACGAGCCTTTCACATGTGAGAAAAACGATATTTTGATTATAGTGAAGTGATAAGAAGGTGGAAGTGGAAGAGAGAGAGAGAGTGCAAGATAAAAAACGTTGCACCAGCTCCAGTACTCAATGTTGGGCAATTAGACCTTAGCACACATACTTATACAAACAATATTAACAACATGACAGCGTAGTCAATAAGCGGAGGCAAATTAAGCATTAAAGTCTAGCATTGTGTTATGGATTGATTAGGTGGAAGAAGGAAATGACGTATAAAAATACAAATTTAACGGTAAACGATAAATGTTAGGCGTTAGTACATGAAATATAGTATCAGTAGCTATGGTTTCGCAAACGGGTAGCATTCATCATATTCTGGGTTAAGATGGATGCCTCGTATGGTGGAAAGGAAAGGCCAAAGTGTTTCAGTCATTTGGGAAGGCATATCTGCTCATCACTTTTTTGTGATATAGAAGAGCTTAGTAGAAATAAAGCAGGTCCACGTTCATTCATTTTTCCTGAATTGAAACACGCTTTTTTTGAGGTTATGGAACGTCTTGCCAAGCAGCTTGAAGTACAACTCACTGATATGACGCTGAAGAGCGACGAGCAATCGCGAAGCATCCAAGAGTTAATCACATCAAGAGGAAAATTGCAATCCGATAACAGCGAATTAAATAGGTAGGCAATAAGTAATTGTGGATAAAATTAAACGAATTTAGCAAATATCATTGAAATATAGCATTGTGTTACTTATGTATCTTCCCAACGGTTTACCGCCTCATTTTGGCTGGGAGGTGCTCCTGGGTCTCGGATTGCGGTGTACAGCGGCGGATTCATCCCCGTGGTATGGTCTCCCAAGCTGAGAAAGCGTCCGACGTTTCCATCAAAAAATTTAGCTAATAGTAAACCAGTAGCAAGATCCACCACCGTCCTGGTATCAAAGTCACATAGTGGCAAATCTTTCTCTGATCCACAAGGACTGCGACTACCTGTGGTGGTGAAGACCTGGGACAGACTTTGGCCAGGCTGTCCTCGGAACTCCAGGGGACCACAATCGCTTAACCATCAAATTCCCAAAAAATGGTGATTATGCTGGAGCCGCACAACTAGTGAGGACGGGCCGTTCAAGTATCAAGTTACTCATGTGTTATCAAACGTAAATGCCCTCCAATCGAATGTTGTACGGACTCGCTGAGTCCAGCGAAATGGAGTAAGAGAGGTTTGTTGACTATGGGAGCTGTGGTGAATGTATAAAAAGTAAAAACGACAGACCCACCAGAAATGATAAGTCTTCCTCCTCTCTGTCGCTGTTAGAGTTCGTTACAGGATTATCGTTTTGTAGAATTCTATTAAGTGACTACTACAATGAAGGATTACTTACTTACTTACATACTTGGACGGTCCGTCTTCACGAGCTGTGAAGACCCCAGCACATATGCCATTAGTTCCTTTCTCTAGTAATCGTAGCCTATGGTGGTGGTCTTGTTCCAGCATGGTGACGATTGCGAGTTTCCTACCGTGATCTGTAAAGCGGTTGCAGCTGCGGGTAGAGCTGATTAACTTTGTTTACGAACACATCCGCCCAACGGCTAGGTGGTCGTCCAAGGAAACACTTGCATTCTCTTGGAGTCCACTCTACTGTTATGCTTGTCCATCTGTCGTCTGTTCTTCTCATTATGTGACCGGCCCATCTATGTTTCGCCGTCGATGTACATTCTCCTAGATCTCGAAGATGTGACAGATTTCGAAGGTCAGAGCTCCGCATTTCGGCTAGATATTGAGAGTGCCAGTTATATTTCAGAAGACATCGCTCAAGCGCTCTATATGTAGTTCGAAGCATTCTTGACGTAGATGAAGTATTAACCCACGTCTCTGCAGCTTAACAGAGCGCTGGTAGGGCCGTAGAATCAAAGAGAAGAGCGCGGATTTTCGGGTCCTTCACATGGTCGGTGCCTTCTTTGAGAGACCCGAATTAGACCCAAGCTGCTCTCGTTCTTCTATTTAGTTTCTCGTTCATGTCATTTTCCATGTTAATTGATCGCGCAAGGTAAACGTACGAGGTGGTCTCTACAATGGGAGAGCCATAGAATTCAATTTTTCGCCTTCATGCCATGGTTTTCTTATGAATTGGGTCTTCTTTCGATTTATGCGAAGTCCGATCTTTTTCCCCTCTTCGTTGAGCTCGTTGATCATCACCTCTGCTTTGCTAGTACTTCTTGAGAAGATGATAATGTCGTCGGTAAAACGAAGGTTTGATAGGAATTTTCCATCAATACGTATGCCTTTCTCATCCCAATCGCGTGACTTCATTATCCACTGCGGTGCGCCACTGAACAGCTTTGGCGATGTTGTGTCGCGCTGTCGAACCCCTTTTCCTATGCGCATTGTAAGAGGTCGATGGAAAAGCTGTATTTTCGTAGCGCAGTTCCGATAACAGTCAGACAGAGTCCTTATGTAGGTCGGGTCGACTCCTTCGTCGACGAGCGCTAATAGGATTGCATTCGTTTCGACACTGTCAAACGCTTTCTTATAGTCGACAAAGGTTAGTACTTGAGGCGAGTGGCATTCCCGACAAACTTCGATGACCCTAGACACGTTTGGATGTGGTCCATGCAACAAAATNCTACTGTTATGCTTGTCCATCTGTCGTCTGTTCTTCTCATTATGTGACCGGCCCATCTATGTTTCGCCGTCGATGTACATTCTCCTAGATCTCGAAGATGTGACAGATTTCGAAGGTCAGAGCTCCGCATTTCGGCTAGATATTGAGAGTGCCGGTTATATTTCAGAAGACATCGCTCAAGCGCTCTATATGTAGTTCGAAGCATTCTTGACGTAGTTGAAGTATTAACCCACGTCTCTGCGGCATAACAGAGCGCTGGTGGGGACGTAGAATCAAAGAGAAGAGCGCGGATTTTTGGGTCCTTCACATGGTCGGTGCCTTCTTTGAGAGACCCGAATTGGACCCAAGCTGCTCTCGTTCTTCTATTTAGTTCCTCGTTCATGTTATTTTCCATGTTAATTGATCGCGCAAGGTAAACGTACGAGGTGGTTTCTACAATGGGAGAGCCATAGAATTCAATTTTTTGCCTTCGCGCCATGGTTTTCTTATGAATTGGGTCTTCTTTCGATTTATGCGAAGTCCGATCTTTTTCCCCTCTTCGTTGAGCTCGTTGATCATCACCTCTGCTTTGCTAGTACTTTTTGAGAAGATGATAATGTCGTCGGTAAAACGATGGTTTGATAAGAATTTTCCATCAATACGTATGCCTTTCTCATCCCAGTCGAATGACTTCATTATCCACTGTGGTGCGCCACTGAACAGCTTTGGCGATGTTGTGTCGCGCTGTCGAACCCCTTTTCCTATGCGCATTGTAAGAGGTCGATGGAAAAGCTGTATTTTCGTAGCGCAGTTCCGATAACAGTCAGACAGAGTCCTTATGTAGGTCGGGTCGACTCCTTCGTCGACGAGCGCTAATAGGATTGCATTCGTTTCGACACTGTCAAACGCTTTCTTATAGTCGACAAAGGTTAGTACTTGAGGCGAGTGGCATTCCCGACAAACTTCGATGACCCTAGACACGTTTGGATGTGGTCCATGCAACAAAATCCTTTTCGAAACCCTGCATGCTCGACTAGTTGCGCCTCATCCAATGTCCTTGATATGCGCGAGAGGATAATCTTGGTGAAGAGCTTGTAGAGTACACTTTACAAGCATATGAAACGATAGTTACAAAGATTCCTTCGGTCTCCTTTCTTGGGCAGGATGACTGTGCGCGACGTCCTTTACTCGTCTGGGGTTTTTTCCTTTTGAAGGCAGCCTGTCATATAATCTGCGAAAAGTAGATGTAGATTGTGGTCTCCAGCTGTGAGAAAATCGGCAGTGATATTATTGGATCCCGGAGCTGCGTTTCTTTTCATGCTTTCTATCGCAACTCGAACCTTTGGCGGAGGAATTCTAGGTGGTTTTTCTCCACCGAGGATATTAGGGCCCGGCGCGGGGTTGTGGAACGGAAAAGGTTGGTGTAGATCGTTTCCGCTATCAATTCCATATCATGGCGGGAAGTTTTGACGATCCCGTCTTCGTTCATCAGGGCCATGACGGATTAGGGAAGATATCAATCTTTCTTGAAATCTGTTTTGTTGGTGATTTGTCCATGATTTTATTAAATCGTTTAATTTAGACAATTAGAAGATGCCGAATCACTTGTGGCCACTCTGAACCGCATCAAACAACAACTACAAGCCCAAAATGAAGATGCACGTAAACAAATCGAACAGGAAACGAGAGAAAAACAAAGTCTACAACTTCAGGTATGTGGCAAGCCCTCCTTTTTACTAGGAACCTATCATAATAGACCGTGATGACAACCTCCACATAGGCAACTAACCAGTCGGAGAGCGTTCATGTCGTTTTACGTGTAGATCTATTCTTATAGTTTTACAGTTAGCAAACTATCAACTAAAATGTGAACAACTTCATGAGGCGCTTGATGAAGAACAGGACTTGAAAACAGAACTTCAACGTCTGATAAGGTAGACAGGCTATCCAATGTAAACAGTTGCAGTCAATATCTTCATTGAATAGTTACTTTATTGTTGTTATTGCTGTTGTTATTTTACTGCTTTAGCAAAGCGAACGCTGAAACTCAACAATGGCGAGCACGATTTGAAGGCGAAGGAATGAACAGAGCTGAAGAGTTGGAAGAAGCAAGAAGAAAACTTGCCCACAAAGTATGCAGCAACATATTTTGGTTCTCATAACCTTTTCTCTAGGTAATGTTCATTTATTCAGGTGCAAGAAGTTCAAGAGCAACTTGAAAACGCCAATCAAAAGATCAGCTCACTAGAGAAAACCAGACAGCGGCTCGTGAATGAGCTGGAAGACGCACAAGTGGATGCCGATAGGGTTAGTGTATTGTTACAAACTTGTAGTGGTTAAATATGAAAACAAGCCAAAGTCTTATTTTCCATTGCCTTGAATTAATATTGTTGTTACTACTGTGTTATTATTATCGTTACTAATTTCACTTTTATATCTTTTTACCTATAATTGTATTCTTTCAGTACAGCCGGGATCAAATTAGCAGAATATGAAGGCTTAACGGAAAGCTGGGTAAAGCGCCATAAAGTATAAATAGGAATATTTTCACTTAAACTGCTATTTGCAAGCAATTATCCTTGTCTGTTATTTAGACGACTCTAGACTACCATTAGCTATTTTTCATGCTGGGTTGAAATCCGGTTACTTTTAACAGCGGTTCGTTTAATCTAGTTGGGTTAAAATAACCTAAGATTTCATCGGTCCAAAGTTTAATGTGGTCATTGCGGTAGTCCAAGTAGTACGTAGACTTCGGAAACAATGTTTTCTTTGATTATGAAGCTAATAGGAGGTTGATAAAGATGCTTATTCGGCTAACGCATCGATGTCTTCATTTTCATCAAAGCCCGTGATCCACGTCGATGGTCCACAGTCATTCGTCTGCCCTGTATGGTGTCTTCGTCGTTGTTCCGAGTCGGATCTTCATCGTTAAAGCACCGCTTGAATGAGGCAATCTCACCCTTTGGCGCTCTTTTAGACAAAAAAGATTGCTGATGATGCTGGTTATTTCTTAATAATAATCTGTTTTTTAACGAATCCTGCAGCAATCGGTGCTGTGCTAGCCAGCATATAGCAACAAGCAAAACAATATTTTTCACACCTATATGACCATGAACTATGGACTCAAACCTGTCGACTATACAACTGTAGACCATCGACTCAGATCATTAGCTCTGAAGAAGACGAAGACGTCGAAGCATTAGCCGAATAAACGTCATTATCAACCTCTGGTTAGTTCAATAATCCAAGAAAGTAGTGGTTACGATTATTAATTCCGTGGTTAAATGACGGTCGGGTTGAAGAATACAGTAATAGCGTCTATTATTATAATACCCAAAGTGCATAAATTTTCCGAAGCCAATCGATGAGCAATAGGATGAGATAAAAGGTTCCTTTTGCAGGTTTCTCTTAGTCTAGCGTGAATGTCTAGTAATAGTGTTAGAAGCCACATTTAATCGTTACTAGTATATCAACTGAGATTCACTTTGGCATACCATAGCCACACTTTTTACAGTAATAAAATCAAAATTACTGACCTTAGGCGTTTAACATGAGTCGTTATTGATACGAGGATCGGATCTAAATCAGTAAGAATCAATCGATAATATGAAAGACTAGAAATGAACATTTTTGGTTTTTTTCTTAAAATAACGCATAAGCTTCTGGTTAAGCTAACTTTTTTTGTCCAGTTTCGCAGCGTTTTAGAATCACCTTTTCACTGATCATTTTTTGCAAGGGATTTATTCCGTCGACAGATTGACGTTGTTTGTACATCCAAGAAAAAATTCTACACTCAAGAAAAAATTCGTTCTGCTTACTCTCTCATAGATTCGAAGATTAACGACATTACCTATTACTCTTTAATTTCTTCTGATTCTTTTGCTTATCGATTTTATGAACATTTCAATGATATTAATAGGTTTGTCTAGTTCATCTAGAAAGCTGATTATCGGCAGCAGTACTCCAATTAAAGTACTTGAAGTAATCATCGTCAAAGGCTTTCTTTCAGGCGAATTCCATAGCAAGCGCACTGGAGAAAAAACAAAAAGGCTTTGACAAGGTGGTCGATGAATGGCGACGAAAGTGTGAAGGACTGGTCCAGGAACTCGAAAGTAGTCAACGTGACACACGCTCAGCAACCACTGAAGCCATACGGTTACGAAATCAACTTGACGAAGCGGCAGAACAGGTCAGTTTCCGCTTCGGCGTATGTTCATTCGAAACACCATCATATCTTTGTGTTCAATACGAAAATTTCACCCACAAAACGACTATACTTTAGAACTGTGCTTTACACAATTTTTACTAAGCTTTTTTTGTCTACATTTCGCATTTCACTCGATCAAAACCCTCAGTATTCAGGTAGAAGGAGTTCGTCGTGAGAACAAGGCGCTTGCACAAGAATTGAAAGATATCACGGATCAGTTAGATGAAGGTGGTAAGAGTGTGCATGACTTACAGAAAATCCGAAGGCGTCTTGAAATCGAGAAGGAGGAATTACAGGTGGTTGCTTAGGTAGATGTAAAGCAGAGAGCAATATCTACAATTCTATGCTGTGTTCATGAGCTTCCTCGCTGCTTCTTCTTCTGAGTTGTTCTCATTACTTAATACTACTCATAATTATGGCCGAATTATGAATTCATGATTTCAATATGTAAAGAATTTGAGTAAATCTATGGTTAGGTCCGATAGTACTTGAAAGGTGTTACCCATCAAAAAAGTTTGTCGCTTGAACCCGAAAATTTTTGAATTTCGCTTCGCCCTAATTTTGTAATAACAATACGCTGTGTTAAACACAATGCATTTCTAACGAAGGATACCAATGAAAAAGTAATTAACAGTATATTATAGTTATATAATGATTCCAGTATAGTGTTGCTAATGAGCAGAATTTTTTTGTTCTCAAGTCTCCAAGTCCTCTAGTAGTTTGTTTTCCTTCAATTTCTTTATAAACATACTTTCTAGCTAGCCCTTGACGAATCTGAAGCAGCGCTAGAAGCTGAAGAAGCAAAAGTACTGCGTGCGCAAGTGGAAGTGTCACAGATTCGATCAGAGATCGAGAAACGACTCCAGGAGAAGGTGGGCACCGTTCAGCAATGCTTTTAGTGTTTGTGTTTTTCTACACCTACACAATAGTGAAGGAAATGAATAGAGAGTCGCGGTAGTAGTCCTGTTAATCACGAGAATAGTGTTGCTAGTTTGACTCCATCCTAAGCTGCCCAAGTCTCCCATCTTTCCGAGGTTGAAGGTCGACGAATTGTCACCACAGACTTTTCTGCGCCCATCGCACTACCTCCATTCAAACGTGGGAATATCTTATTTCGACTATCTCAAGATAGGAGGGAGAATCGATTCAATTTGCTTGCAATGGCATTCGTAAAAAGACGAAGAATTCTCAAGCAGTAGCCGAACACACGCGTGAAAAATTCGAAGACATTCATGAACGACTGATGTGAGGAAAGGAAAAGATTAAAGGAATGCTGAGACCCACACGGTAGGTGTAATGATGGATCGGGTGAAATAAAAAAGGGTGAACACTCTCACCATCCAATAGCATGGCAGATTTTTCATCTTGTCGTTCATTTTTGCATCCTTCAGTCGAATTTCTGTAAAATTGCCTTTATGAATGAATGTTATACCTGATTTCTGATCACTCTAGGAGGAAGAGTTCGAGAACACGCGAAAAAATCACCAACGAGCCCTCGAGAGTATGCAAGCCTCACTAGAGAGTGAGTCAAGAGGGCGTGCTGATCTACTGAGAATGAAGAAGAAACTAGAGAGTGACATTAATGTGAGTTTCAAAGCCAGTAACTTTGCTGCCCTTAATGATGGTCTGTTTAAGTTACCACTCCGATGATTAAAAAGATGTATGCGATAATAAATGTGGTGTGTTTTTCAAGACAGTGTTAAAGATCCATTAATCTATTATAGTCATCAGTAATTAACAAGAAAAACGGAGAAACCGTGGTGGTTAGTAATGTCATCAGTCAGCAAACGAGGTTCGATCCCACCCACCACGCTCTCCTCCAATCCACGTGGAATGGAACTCCTTAGGCTGGTTATCCCCAGGATTGCAAGGAAAATTAATTTAAACAGCATTCTACAACGTCCATATAGAAGACGAAATCCTCAAGCAGCAACCGAAACAACACGCGAATTATTTGAAGACATGGTGGACGATGAGTATGTGTGCGAGCAAGATGAATCGAATGCAAGTGCTGAGTCACACAGTAGAGGTGACGACAGATCATGTGAAATGTAAATGCAAAAAAAATCAATTAATAAGAGCTCATGTTAATAACAGTAGCAAGAATAACCATAATAATAATAATAATAATAGTAATAGTAATAATAATAGTAATAATAATAGTAATAATAATAATAGTAATAATAATAACAACAGCAATATAATCGTATATAATGCTGAGATATTTGCAAAACTCACGACCGCAGGTGTATGCGGTGGGGAACGAACCCGCGCTGTTGTCCTTACCGGGGAGCAGCGAACTTCACCACCGCACCACCCGGGTACTTCGTTTTGCCTGTCTCTCAGCTAGTTCTGTCGATCTTTTTGCCATCAGCAATCACCCTTCAGCGGGATTGATCTGGGAAGCCCAAATCGGCATTGAACCCAGTTAAGCTGAGGCTTAGTTATATTCACAATCTTAACCCTTTTATTTACTGCCTTTTTCTTTTTAATGGGAGGGTATGTTGCGAAATATATGCGGTCACCTGCGGTCCGGAGTTTTGCAAATATCTCAGCATTATATACGAGTTATATTAATCAAAATTATTTTCTTTCATTGTAGTAGATATATAATGGAATCGATATGCTGTCGAAACTCAGATATAATTGCGAAAAAATGCGCGACAAATCTATATCAGTCCTTAGCCACACTAAAGAGACGAACGACTGAAATCGACAATGTGCTTTTATCCTAAAAATCCCCCAAAAAAACTGTTTTGCGGAGAAAGGAAAAAATAGTAGGGAACAAGAGGACTGGGCTTTTTGTTTCTCCTAAGGCTGACAGTAACATTAAAGTTCAATTTTTGAGGAATACGCAACCGTTTCCTCGAAACAAAAATGAGTCTCTTTCAAATTGCATTTTATCAATTGCATGACGACGAAGGTACAATCGGTAGATGAGTGGAAAGAAAAGCTAAATTAACTTGCACCGTAGATATTTCCTTTCAGGAATTTGAAATCGCGCTGGATCACGCTAACAAGGCAAACGTTGATGCACAGAAAAACTTGAAAAAATACCAAGATTCCGTCCGAGAACTTCAAGTAGACGGTTTTTTACTTTTATGTAAGAAAGAAATGATAATGGACACTTTTTACATGTTTGCAATTCAGCTACAAGTGGAGGAAGAACAACGTCAACGTGATGACGCTCGAGAACAAGCGATGATAGCCGAGCGACGAGCTCAAATTGTTCAGCAGGAGAAAGAGGATTTGGCGATGGCCTACGAACAGGTAGATTTTTTGCATATCTAAGGATTTAACTCTTTTTCTCAATTCTTCCTATTTTTACCTTTGTTGATCCATATTTTCGTCTAATAACAGCAAAAAATTCTAAATGGGTTTGATTTATTTCTGAACAATTTTTTGCCTAATAATATTATATTGGGCCAGTTATAGAATAAAAAGCATGTTCCAAGCTTCAGATTAGTCACCGTGGGATAATATATTTCCCAGGAAGATCCGCATTAATCATCGAACCACCGTAACCGGTTAAACTGATGAATACCCTCACTTCCTTGATGAGTCCAGGCACACCGAAATGTTGCAATTCATCCCTACAATAGTCATGTCGACATCTGATCATTTTATCAAGCATCCGGCTTATTCTCGTGGTTGCTTTGAAATAGTAACACGGTGTTACTGGCCAAATCTAACATCTGTCCAAATATTTTCAAGCGTAGACTTATGATGAATATCTCAAAAGATTGGACGGATTTTTTTCTCATATCCATGTGTATTTGTTGTGAAGGCACCATTTCTACAATTTTCTCATTGGTGTGGTTGACTGAAGGGTTCGACCTGCGCGGGGTCCTAGTTTTCCAAACATCTCTACAGTGATCTGAAGAGTCTTCAGCCATCCTATTAATGTCAAATTACGCACGTTATCTTATTCAATCAGCTCATTGATGACGCATTTGCTCCTCTTAACGTTAGATGCGTAACTTTTGCTGAGGTTCTACAGTAGCCCTTCATCTTAATTCCTCTATCATAAAGACGAGTATGTTCAGAAAAATAAGGTATTACTGCCGGTTTTCGTTTAAGATATTCATCAGTAGTACTGAAGATTGCAGTTTAACAGCAGTACTTACGGTTTAATACAGACAAAAACTGTTATGGTGAAAAACAAACTTGTTTAGAGTGGAAAGTTGACAACTAGTTATAACACTGTTATTCTTCGGCCGCACAGCCATATCGCCACACTATAGGAAAAAGCTTTTTAGAAATGCCGAAATTTTACATGGCATATTTTAAAAAGTTACGCGTCTAGCGCAATAGTTAGGGACGTCCCGCAATACACACACGGTCGTTGGATTGATCACGCACCCAGGGCCAACTAAGTCCCACATCCTCCGGGTTGGGCAAATTGGCACCAGGTTTGCCAGGAAGAGCTGCCTCTGGTTCAGATGCCTGGCGCGTACTTATGATAAAGAACTGCGGACGCTTTGATAGAGGTATCTCAGGATTTCAAAGAGAAGTATTTCGACCAGCATGTGAGGACATTAGTGAAAAAGATAAAAATCGTCGATAAGTCGGGCCGGGCCTACATGCTGGCCAGATGACATTCGCGGATGACAGATGCGAGGCAGTGAACCGAACGAATGAGCTGTTAGGATGTGCACAAAATGTGTTATGATAAAAAGGATAGCTTTCACTGGAAAATCAGAAATACCTTCGCATGGTTAAGCTAGGAGATCCTCTTAATTTGCTTTCTTCTAACTTCATACCGATCTCGACTTATCCATTTCGGGATGATATATAAGCTACAAGTAAATAAGCCCACAAATAGCTAAAATGATTCCTTGATTTGAAGAACTATTCGAGAGGTCTTGAAATAAGACACTTTTGAGATTTCTCAGGTCCATGATCAAATGAGTGCTATTTTATTGTATCATTACAGGCTGAAAGAGCTAGACGACAGGCAGAATATGAAAGTGTTGAAAGTAAGGAGATAGCAACTGCAATGGCAAACACAAATGCTGTTCTGAGTGCTCATAAGAAACGCCTTGAAGGAGAACTACAGGTGAGGAAACGGTAACCAGTAAGTGATTTCGAGAGAACCTGTGGAGATGTCATACTCGATGAGAGCTAGTCAATAAGTAAAAAAGCCCGAAGGTTTTCCAAAAAAAAGAAAAGATCTAAAAGGTGATGTATGAACTGAAATGTTTGGTAGATTCGTTGCTTTTTTTCTTTTTGATTTTCTATGAAATATGATATATTCCCGACTTTTCGCGTTCTTAAGAATTGAGAGACTTTAAAGAATTTCAGTTCATTTCGTTTCAGCTCTTTTTTCAACCTACCCAACTAAACACCGCCATAAACAAAGCAGAGAAAACACTAAACCAAGATTTCAAATTGCATTGAAAACAAAATAGGTTCTTTGTACACTCACCACTTTCCATGAGCCTTCCAGTAAGCATTTAACGTGGACATCAGTCACACTGAGTTCACTTTGAAGCGTAATGTGTCTCTCCCACATTAAAATATTTACTTGGATACCTGGTTAGCCTGTCCTCAGTGGTGGTCTGTGTCCCAGTGTAATCTCCAATTTTTTTGGAGATTTCATGGTTTAGCTATGGTAGTTCCCGGGATTCCCAAGATCTGCCTGGCCAAAGTCTGCTCCAGGTTGTCACCACCACTTGCAGTCTCCAGTCGCAGCTCTCGTGTATCGGGGGTTGATTTGCTATCAAGCGACTAATTTGATACCAGGACGGTGGTGAATCCTAGTGTTGAGTTAATCTTAGCCAGGCTTCGTGATGGAAACGCCGGAATTCTTCTTAGGTTGTGAGACCCTGCCAGGAAATGAATCCACCGCTTTACATCGCAGTCGGACACCTAGGAACACCTTCCAGCCGCGATGAAGTTGGGAAGCGCATTAAAATATCAGTCTTAAATACTGTATGATCACTAGGCATTCCACCCTGCAATTTACTTTCAGATTCTTAAAATTTACCCAGAATTTCTTGGGAGCTTTTGTGCCCTGAAATTTTTGATTCTTGTGCGAGGATGGTAACTTCCACTCCAAAATATTCCCTGCTCTATCTCTGTGTTCTAGGCATGCCTAATGAAGAATTTAATTTCACTTTAAGTTCACCGACTAAATCTTTCTTTACATGAACGCAGAGTAGTCTACCAGTTTCGCGAGTGTATTCGTTCCCGCACGCTTTACAAGAGATCAGATAGGCTGTGCCCGAACTCATGCAATCACATTCTCTACCGTTAGGGTATTTTATGCAATTTTTCGTTGTGCATTAACGGTCATATAGACGGTTCCGGTCTAGCTGGCGTCTTAGAGTGCTCGGCGGCATTCGCATCATCCTATCATAGCATTATTTCTAATAATGCATTCAAGTTTTAGCAGTTACAATCGGGAATGTCCGAGACACTCAACGAATTAAGAAGTGCAGAAGATCGAGCGAAAAAGGTTTGAAAAATCCGTTTCTTTACTTGTTTTTCCTTCTTCTTTTATTTTCAAATCCTCTGATTAATTTAGCGCTCTTTCCTCTACGAAATCATAATTAAACCCGGTGCCTATACGGAATCACTTTAAAGTTTGATTGAAATCATGTCATCGGTTAGAAGAACTTACCACATAGCATCTCTTCTGTGTTGATGATAAAAAGCCCAAATTTAAGGATTCTAATATTTTCCTAATTAATAAAATTACATTTCAGAGCTCAAATGAAATTGGACGGCTCAGCGATGAACTACGATCTGAGCAAGAACACGCACAAAATATCGTTAAACTGAAAAAAGCACTCGAATCACAAGTAAAGGTAATCAGAGATATGATTTGAATTTATAGTATCATTATGATGGCACCAGCACTATTACTGTTTATGAAACTAAAAATATACCAGGAAAGTAAAAAGTCACTTAATTGCTGGAACTCATGAGCCTAAAAAAGTTTCCAAAGTAAAGACAGGATCTCGAATCGAAGTCGACCTAGAAATAATGTAAAGAAAATATTTCATTATGAGAGAAATTATCTTATTTTCATGAAGTGAGTAGATATCGCTTCACAAAGAACAATACTAGTACATTTTAAGGACATGCAAGCACGACTGGAAGAAGCAGAAGCGCAGTCGATGAAAGGCGGCAAGAGAGCTATTGCAAAGTTGGAGGCGAAGTATGACAATAACATAAAACTTTTTTCAGATCACGCAAATTTCTTTGTAAACTGATATATAAATCTGTCCACTTGTCTATTTAACAAAACTCAGTTCAGTTACTGGTAGGTTACTGAGAAACTTCCACGGTTACTTTAACCAGTGAACTCGATGTCTGCTTTAGCCGTACCGGCCAAACTACCTATCAGTACACTCGACGCTAAGACCTATCCCGAAGAGCTATCCTTGGTTATCCCCTTTAAAAGATAAATGGTACCGCTCGAACAATGTATTCATGCTCGTGATCTGGCGTAGTAGTTGGATACTTGGATAGATCGTGTTCGCCGAAAACTGCGAGCCCCAGCATAATTTATACCTGCTGGTTTAGACCTTGTGCTTCACTAGAGTCCCGACATCACCCTAGGCGAAGCCTTCCTCAAGTCCTCACAACCCCAGACAGTCGCTCCCCTGTGGATCAGAGCGAGATTTGCCACTACGCGACTACTTCCACACCAGGACGGTGATGATTTCTGATAATGGTTTGCTTTAATCTGGATTTCTGAATAGGATCGACCGACTACCTCTCAGCTTGGGAGCCCTGTTGGAAAGCGAATCACTTCGCTGTATATCGCAGCCCGATACCCAGGAACGCTTCCCAACTACGATGAGGCGATAAACCGTTCAGATGGATCTAGAGGAACGCACATCTAAAATGATGTACAGATGAGCTGTGTCATAACATGAGAAGTGCAATATGTATTGGTACAGATATAATATATATTGGACAATTTCAAGTTGGTGCGCTGGAAGCTGAATTCGAAGTATAGCTCACAGCAGAATGATAGTTTGAACCGTCAGAAGGCCACTGTTGCAAACAGCTGTAGTAACAGAACGATGCTAGTAAAGTTGAAGTAGAGGTTCATAGAGGATTTTAGGATTTGCGATGATGGTTAAAAGCGGTTGCATAAAAATTTTCTTGAATTCCTATTACCAACAATAGCAAGTCAAACGACATTTTGAAGAATTGTACTCAAAAGTAAGCGTTGTACGTAAAGCTGTTAAATGGAGCAAATCAGTTTAATATTGTGGAGCAGACGATTAAAACAGATTTTGTTACAGATGTCATGAACTGGAAGCCGAGTTGGAAGGTGAAAGCCGACGACACGCTGAAGCAGTGAAGAATCTCCGCAACAAAGACCGTCGATGCCGAGAATTGCAATTTCAGGTAACAACTAATCGCCAACGATTTCGATTTATATAACAGTTTTTCTTATCTTATATCATCATCATCTTTCCTCAGGTCGACGAAGACAAAAAATCATCAGAGCGTACATTTGATCTCATTGAGAAACTACAGCAGAAAATCAGGACGTACAAACGCCAAGTAGAAGAGGCGGTGAGTATTTAAATCTTCTTTTTCTTTTTTTGCAGGCAATAATAAACATCTTTTTAAATAACTATGTTGAACTAAAGTGCTTCTTTTGTGTCATGAAGATGGGGAAGGACGACTAAAGTAAGGGAACGAAATGAGTATAGGTAGAACAGGAACATTTTCGCGTAGTAGATCCTTAAACCTGTTTGCAGCAGAACGAGGGCTTTACTCTTTACGGAGTCAAATAATTGTAAAGGTGATAATGGTAATAACAGTAAAGGATAAACGCTAAAGATCTCGGGGTTTATCATTCCTTGAGGGATATGCCTTGCATTCGATTGCACTGAGCATCATTAGAAGTGGTTGAATGCAGTGACTTGAAGTGGTCTACCAATGTATGAAGTCAGTGGTGCTATCCCTCCCAAACAAGTCTGGTACCAGTTTATCGACACCAGATGTTGGAGGGCATGATGAGCCCTTGGCGTGCGATCCATCTAACGATCATGTCGCCATTCCGGCACACCTCTATCCACTACATTACACGCACTGCAGTAATAACAATCATAATATTAAGAGGGTTCGAGCAGCTGGTTGGTTAAGCTTTTTTTCGTGCTTGTGTTCGTTGTGCTGTACTCACCTCTCAAAAGAATTAAGCTTTCCATCCCTTTACGATCGACATATTCGAATCAGACTTTGTCAAAGTAAAGTTGAGTAGAGTTAACCTAGTACAGCGGTAGGATTCAGTGAGGCATTATTTAAGCCACTTGTTGATTAGATAACCTCTACGATCTCGAATTGGGCCGAATCGATGGGGCATGACTAGAATATAAATTGGTATGCGAAGTTTCATCCTTTATTCCTCACCCCTTGGTAATATTAATAAAAATACGAAAAGAAAGCCGAATATAATTTGCTATAGTCGACGATAATATCAAAAATAATGACAGTTCCAAAACAATAATGCGGTGCGGTTGGTATAAAGGATCGTGCGGTGGTTAAAAAACATTTCAATACTACCCACGAGCTCTTCGTGCGACTCTGTCGTGCAACAAGTCAAGTCCATTGTCGTAATGGAGTCAGAAAATTTTTACCTCACCTGCCTGAGAAGATTCATCGTGGCCGCCGATTGGCTGTGTTGACGACCTGGGAACACCGTAGCGTGACTATCCCAAGATTTTATAAAGGATTGGTTCCTCCAGCATTCAGCGAATCTCGAGGAAGACCAAAAATCCTGAAGCACTAGCCGAATTCACACTTGAATCCGAAGACGTTCATGAATGATGGGTGCAAGAAAACAACCGAATTAAGTCAGTGTTGGGATTCGCACAGTACGAGATCTTGGGTCATGGAGGAAAAATAGGTGATGACAGTATCAGAAGTAATAAATCTTTCGAGCGTGTTGCATTAGACTTACTTACCTGAGCATGTGTTGATAAATATTACCAAACTTAACTTCAAATTGTTTTTTTTTCACAAATTCGTGAAGTGTGAAAGTTTCTGGGTAACCACTAAGTGTCGTAAACTAAAGGAAGACAACTGCGAAATCGTTGTTGTATCATCTTTAGGAGACGCTAGCTGCTCAAAATCTCGCTAAGTATCGTCAGTTGCAACATGCTCTTGAGGACGCCGAAGAACGTGCCGCAGCCGCCGAGAATGCCATGGCTAAGATGAGACTGAAGAATCGTAGCGGATCTTATAGGCCCTTAGCGCATTCGGTAAGTGTTACAAATTACTGGATTTGCGCCACTAAACTTATTAAGTCTTCAAACTGAACCTTGCCGTAGTTTCGTCATTTCTTATAAAATGTTTCACATATGTTTCCTGAAGTTACCGAAAAACCTTTGAGGACTCGTAGATTTATTGTTGAAGGACAATTGGCTTGATCAATTCAGTTTACCAGGACTATACCTATTCTCTATTCGACCGATCTTAAAAATTGAATGTAATATTTTTTTCTGGGTCATTATGGCCTCAGCACGGGAGGGGACTCCGCAATAATGCATGAGTTTCTACCGATTTTCTATTTCTCACCGCTAATTCAGTTATTCATAATGTTAATGCTGCAACGATGCAACACATAGGCCTATTCTTCCCATTTTACCATTGTGATTGTGAACGCTTTATGAAAAGAACTACCGATCGATATATATTCACATAATGTGTCCTAAGTAAAGACTCATGTTCAGGACATCTGAAAGTCTTGAATCCAACTTTGGCAGCATCTGTTTTCTTTGTTTTTCGTTTTACAAAGTCTTTAAATTTCAGATGTCTTCCACTGCAGTGAACATGAAAAGCAGCAGTTCATCACGTGGCCGTCTGCTCGACGACGGTGTCGAAGAACGACAGAACTGATATCGTTGTGCTCAATAGTTTTATCTCTCAGTGTCATGATCAGATATATAGTTTTTTTGTTCCTTTGGCTCACATTCTTTTAAAAAATTTATCTAGCTCTGTTTATCCCTCTTTTGTTAGCAATTAACCGTCAAATCCCTTGACATTTCCAGATATCCCAGGTATATATGCATATATTTAACAATTAATCGCTGACTGATTATCTCAACAGCATTACCTATCTGCCGTGAATAAATCTAACCACATTCTACATGAAATTCTTGTTTATTTAGTCATTAGAAAATCTAGATGATGACCAGCTCCAACTTTGCCGGAGACCGGTTGTGCAGATTTTAAAGGAATTTCTAGAATCGGAACTACCATTTCATCTTCAAAGCACCTTCTATCATTGCTGTCAACGTACGAAAACCTCTGAAAATACCTGCCAAGACATCAACTATGGAGGCTGGGCTATGATATAGTCCTAAAAGAATGCCTGAAAGACATCACATAGAGAACCACGGATTAGGGTGAAACGAGCAAGGGAGCGGCTATCTGAGTTTATCACGACGACCAAGACCATCCATGGTAACTCGCAATTCCAGAAGCTCCACCCTCAACGCTGCACATGGGAGTCTCACAATGGAGAATAGCGTAAAGAAATAGACCACATCATAGTAAACCGATGGTTTTCCCTTACCGATGTCCTTTTGTCCTAAAATTCTACACAGGATCAGATCATCGCCTTCTTCATGCAAGATTGACCTCATAGAAAGCGGTGAGTGTGCAAAGCTGTGTTCAAAGTGATTGAAATCTTGGTTTAGAGTTTCTTTGTTTGGTCATGGAGGCGTCTGGCCGAGTAGATTGCTATCAACTTGACCTTTCCAGGCTCTGAGGAAGGCGAAATCCGCCGAAACGTCAGCTTAATCGTGAACAAAGAATGGTAACACCTCGCGTTTGCTCAACAAAAATACGAAGAAAATTACTTGATCAATGCCGAGGTTAATAGAAAGTCGGTCGTGGCAGTTTCAATAATGTTCTACAAGTCGGAGCCGATACGATGTTTGTTCAAAAATTTGGACCACAGAAGCACGATAACAAGTCTCGTTCAAGCATCGCAAGAATACAAGGTACCGCTGTATCTCACTTTCATCGGTTTGAGAGAAGCTTTTGACTCACTTGCAGGCATTGAAACTCTTGACAGCTAGGGCTTCCATACTTAGTGTGTTAAGATTCGTCATGTATGTAAATTCTATATGAAAAATCCACAGCCAAAATATCACCATTGTATAATAATGCTAACACTTAGGTCGGGAAATCACCATGAATAATTACTATGTCGAGAATTGAGCAGAAGGAAATTAACTATTTGGGGAGCTCTGGAGAGCATCAAAGATGTCGTTGCATGTCGGAAACCTTGTCGCGACATTGGTCACTGAGCGTGATAGGACGCGTCGAAAAGGCAATGCAAGGCGTATCCCACATGATGCAAATGGAGGGTGTCCGGAGCTCCGATCAACGCCAACAGTCAAAAACAAAAGAGGCCGCTCTCCACAGCAAACTCTCGAAGATCAGGTAGGCCGAGCACCCAGTGTATGTGAACCAAAACCGTCACCTGTCCCTGTCAGCTGTCGTTTCCTTAATCGCAGAACTCGAGCCTGCGCCAGTAAATCTTCGATTTTTTTCCTGTGATGTGGAAGGGTTGTCCAGTAGTTTCATACCTTTCTTCTAGGGTTTTCGTAAAAAACTGTTACAATCGCATTAGTCCTACGCCTTAACTAGGTCACCACACCAAAACCAGGACGGCAGTGATTTCTTGTATTGGTTTACAGTTATCTGGGTTTTCACATCGAAACCTCTGATACCTTCTCATCTTGGGGTACCCTGCCGCCGAGTGAGTAATGAATACTAGTTGCAAATCGCGGCCTGACACACAAGAACCTTCCCAGCCACGATGAAGGGGCAAACCGTTGGGAGGACAGGCGAATCTAGAAATAACAATAGTAGAGTTAGCAGAATACGAACTCATACCTCGAAATGATCATCGCAGTGAATTGATTACCAAGAATTCCCAATAAAAACACCCTATTTTTGAGAAACGAGCTATTCGCCGGTTTTCTGGCTCAGAGAGCGATCTACAACCGGAACGAAGAAACTTTCCTCTTCTTTGCTTTTAGCCTTCGAAATGGCTTTCATTCAATCTTGGCATAAATAACTAGTGCTTTATTTCATTTACGAGGTCCAGTAGGTTATCAACAAAATTTGTTCAGTGCTGCTAATGTTTCCGTCTTTTCGTGTTCCTCAGGATCACAATGGTCCTGGTAGAAGTATCTACAAAAGGAGTCGAAGTTTATAAACACATCACAGCGAAAATTATTAGTGTCGATGGCAAAAAAATGACGGGTTCGAAGGACAGTTTTTGTTACTGTGAGCTAATAAAGCTCCGGCTGCTGCCAAATGGGATATCTAATATGCACTTCATTCGTACAGTGATCCTGTCCAGTAGATTCGCCTCGACGTTACAGCGAAGACTCACATCATAAGAATCTACCGCTGTAGACAATCGATTACGCATTTGTCTTCTTATAGCTTTCTCGATCAACAAATATCATTGAGTTTTTATTATCGCAGATACAGTCATTAGAATGTGAGTAGGTTAACTGTGATCCATGTACGCAATATGTGCAGTTGATCAAAAATTACGTCTCCTTTGGAGTTTTGTAGTACAGGTGACCGCCATCCTTTTCTTTGCAACTGAAAACAGAAAACACAACGGAATTCTCGAAATATTTCTAAAGAATAATAAGGTTAATACTGTGATTGAAAAACGACCAAACACAAAACCTACTTACGGTTACTTCATATACTCAATTTCGCAAATAAATATGGAAAAGCTCTATTTTTAAAATGAAATAGGATCGACTTTCTATTAACCTTGGCATTGGAAAATGAATGCGTCGTTTTCTTGTTCAGCAATCGCGAGGTTTTTAAACAGCATGCATTTACATGATTGCTGTGGCAAAAAGATCGATAGAAATAGCTGAGAGACAGGCGAAACGAAGGACCCGCATGGTGTGGTGGTGAACGCGTTACTCCCCGGAAAGGACAATAGCGCTTTCGTTCCCCACCAAAGACACCTGCGGTCCAGAGTTTTGCAAACATCTCAGCAACGTTGTGGTAGCATACATTTACTTCTATAGAAAAACACAATACAATACAACGCTAGCCGACGTTTCGGCAGTATCGCCTTCTTTAGAGCCGCTTTTTCGTAACTTCCAATGAGGAAGTTTAGAACAGCTGATTATAGTCGCATATGGTTGATATTTTTAAAAACTTCGCGATTGCTGAACAAGAAAAAAGGAAGGATAAAAAAAAAGACAAAGCTCTCGGCGTTGATCAATCCCTGAGGGATGCACCATGAATTCGACTTCAAAAAGCGTCGTTGGATGTGATTGAATGCATATCTGGCCTTTACAATGACAGGCAGTGGTATCGAGTCAGTTCTGCTATTCTCCCAGACAAGTCCGGTACTAATTTGCTAACCTCGGAAAAATGGAATTCTTGGTGAATTACGGGCACGGAGACCGATCCATGTATGAATCAGAGGGCGCCTCTAACCACTGCGCCTTTTTTATTTATTTCCAAAGGATATAAATGAAATTCTTGAAATGGAATATATAGACTTTAATAAGCTATTTTTTAAATGCCATAGGCGAGTTTTTCTCTGAGCAAGTGCTACTTACCGTGAAGAGTAATTAGACATAGGGGGGATAAGGGGTGAACGTGTTGTACGTTGTTTTCGGGGAATCCGCCTTAATTCTGAAAAGTCCTGGAACTTTTCTCAAGAAACGATTTTCTGAGTCAGTCTAGTCTACGGTGTCTGAAGTAGCGGCTTCTAGGGTTTTTGAAAGTTGTTAAAGTACTGATCAACACTATGGACTCATCCTGCAGTAACTCCCACGACCGACTTTCTGTTAACCTCGGCATTGATCAAGTAATTCTTCGTATTCCTTTTGAGCAAACGCGAGGTGTTATTTTTCTTCTTTATTCACAAATAAGCTGACGTTACGGCGAATTTCGCCTTTATCAGAACCTGGAAAGTCAATTAAAAGGAAAGACAGCAATCAATTCGGCCATACACCTCCATAACCAAGTAAAGAAAACGCTAAACCGTCCTACCTATCATCTCAAATAATATAAATGCAGCTATAAAACGCTGCTTAAGAAGGGCGGGTCTAGAGAAATCGGTACGTAGTTGAAATGCCACCTAGTAGTCTTAGGTGCCAGCTAGTTCGTAACTGCCTATATGACCGTCTATGTGCAAAGCAAAATCGCATAATTTGTCACAATGGTAGAGACGGTGATTACATGAGCTCGGGTATAGTTTATCTGATCTCCTGTAAGACGTGCGGTGACGAATACATTGGCGAAACAGGCAGACCCCTCTGTGTCCGCATAAAAGAACACCTAGCCGGTAAACGTAAAGCAAATACCCCACTAGGCAAATACAGGACAAAGAGACATAACGAGGAGGACTTTGAAGTACGTGTCACGATCCTCGCACAGGAATCGAGAATACAAGCGCGCAAAACTCTTGAGGCGTTCTCGATTAGTTTCAGAAATCTGAAAGTGAACCGTAAGGAAGAATGCCTCATTATCACGCGTGTTATTGGGCAGTGTATAATCCTGTTATACGCGACATACTCAGTGGAAGCCTCATGGAAAGCGGCGAGTGTACAAAACTGTGTTAAATGTGATTGAAGGCTTGGTTTAGCGTTTTCTTTGTTTGGTTATGGAGGTGTTTGGCCGAATTGATTGCTGTCCATTTAACCCTTCCAGGCTTTGAGGAAGGCGAAATCCGCCGAAAGCATCAGCTTATTCGTGAATAAAGAATAAAAATAACACCACGGGTTTGGTCAATAAGAATACGAAGAATTACTATGGACTCATTCGGTGTTTGTTCAATTCAAATTTCCCGACTCGCATTTTCATTTTGCTGTCATGTTGCTTAGGATCATCACTCATCTTTCAAGACCTCGAGAGTTATATTTAAATATAAAAACTCTGCAAGAAAGACCATGTTTTGCTTTACTTTTTTTACTGCAAAAACAGCTTTGGACATTCCATGCTTTTAGCCACCTGCTAACTGAAATCACCTGAGATTATGATGGATTCTAAGTTTATTTGCGAAGCATCGAATAGCTCAAAGATTCGATCTCTTTATTCGCAGTTAAAAACAAGAAAAAGCCCCACTTTTTTCATATGGCCATCTCGAGAAAATGAGACTACATAGTTATAACACGCTGTTCGGTCTCAATCCTTGCACGGCCAGAAAACTGGTACCAGATTGTCTGCGAAGACAAAACCAGTAACTTGATAAATCGGCAGATCTTCGCTAGAGATTCCATAGAACAAATTTTCATTCTTTCACCTGTTACCCGGGCAGTAAAAAAAATTGCTGACGACTGCTTTGTCCTTTGCTCAACACAAGAGGAAATCGACAAATGCTTCGAATTGTTAAACGCACAGTCAGAGTATATCAAGTTCACCCGAGAAAAGCCGAAAGAAAAATGGCTTCCATTTTTGAACGTACAAATTCATCTATCAGAAAATGGCTACATTACAAAGTGGTACCGAAAGCCAAGTAGTAAAAATATCTTGGTTCATTACCTCTCCTCTCACCCCTCTCACATGAAAAGGGCGCTTATAAGAAACATGTTTGGAACAGCAACCAACGTGTGCACGGGAAGAGAGCAGAGAGAGGAGTCCCGGAACTTGGCACGGCAAATAGCCGTTTCTAATGGCTACGAAACTGTATCTCAGAATAGGTGTAGAGGAAATAGTAGGCCTCCAAACGACAACTCTAGCGATGGAAGGGTCCCGTTTATCCTACCCTTCATCTCAAATGATATAAGTACAGCTATAAAACGCTGCTTAAGAAGGGCGGGCTTAGAGAATTCGGTGAGCGTAGTTGAAATCCCACCGAGTAATCTTAAGAGCCAGCTAGTTCGCAACAGCCTACATGACCGTCTGTGTGCAACTCAAAATTGCATAATTTGCTCCAGTGGTAGAGACGGTGATTGCATGAGCTCGGGTATAGTTTATCTGATGTCCTGTAAGACGTGTGGTGACGAATACATTGGCGAAACGGGTAGAACCCTCTGTGTCCACATGAAAGAACACCTAGCCGGCAAAAATAGGCCAAATACCCCGCTAGGCACGCATAGGACCCAGAGACATAACGGGGACGACTTCGAAGTATGTGTCACGATCCTCACACGCGAATCGAGAACACAGGCGCGAAAAACTCTCGAGGCACTCTGGATTAATTCCAGAAATCCGAAAATGAACCGCAGGGAAGAATGCCTCATTATCACGCGTGATATAGGGCAGTATATAAAACTGCTTTTCTGATGTGAGGGGCACATTATACTTCCACGTGATTTCTGTGCGGTTGGTCTCTACGTGACATACTTAGTGGAAACCTCATAGAAAGTGGTGAGTGTGCAAAGCTGTGTTCAAAGTGATTGAAATCTTGGTTTGGAGTTTCTTTGTTTGGTTATGGAGGCGTCTGGTCGAGTGGATTGCTATCAACTTGATCTTTCCAGGCTCTGAAGAAGGCGAAATCCGCCGAAACGTCAGCTTAATCGTGAACAAAGAATAGTAACACCTCGCGTTTGCTCAACAAAAATACGAAGAAAAAAAATTCATAATGCCTCACTGGAATAATTAATCCACGCAAAAGCATTCTTTCAATAAGATTCTATCTATTATGTTGCAAGGTCGGAGTGGCCCTGTGATTGCAGACACCACTGCGGCACACTCGTAAAATCGTTCCCCACGCTCGTGGCCCACCAAGATTTCTATCTGTACGGAATCGACAAATTGGTACCAGACTTGTCTGGGAGGATAGTAGCACTGGCTCGATACATCTGTAAGCCACCGCGAGTCATTGTAAAGGCCATCTATCCATTCAATCACTTCCAACGATACCTAATGAAGTCGAATGCATGGTGTGTCCCTCAGCGACCGATTAACACCGAGAACTTTCTCCTTTTTTACGTTGCAAAGGCAGCGATGAGATCAAAGTTACGCCACAAATTTCCGTCTAGTGCAGAAAATGCGGCCGGCTCAATTATTGTAGGTAAGATCGAACTGCTCAACGGTCTGCAATGGTGGACACCCATACAGTGACTCCCAGTGGCCTACTGATGTATTGAGTAAATGCTGCCATCCACGCAAGCAAGTTTGGTGCAAATTTGTCAACCATTGAAGGAGTTTCATGACATAACGAAGAAAAATGTTTTACGCATGTCGCATATCTGTTATCATGAGAACGGGTCTGCTGTTGTATGATAGAAGTAGGCAAAAGAACTTACCGATGACAGAGTAAAACGCGCTTAAGGACAAGCATATGTTAATGCTTGCTAAGTCTTCAAATCTTCCATAACGAAATACGATGTATAGCGGGGTTCTATATTCATTCAAGGTCGTCAAATTGAAGAAATAGTCTGAGATTTTCGCCGAAAAGCACAGCTTAGAGCAAATTTATGGCCAGCTTGGCGAGGCCGCTTTGCCGCCCAATAGAGTTGGCGTAAAAAGAATAGTACCAAGGATATGACTATTTTCATATATCTCGACCATGATAAGCTTGGTAAGAATTTTTGGAACTCAACTGTGAAGAAAGTAATTATAGTGGTTCGCTCTCCAGTGGAACCACCACTGGCGCAGTAGCGGTGGTGCAAGCAAAAAGTTTGCTATATAAATGTCTCAAAATACCTGGTCATAATCATTGGAATGACGAATGTTTAAGACGCTCAAAGTGATCACAACGATGTTTACACTTAGCAGACACTTACTAATGATCATATTTTTCTGCAGAGACTTTGCCATTGAGAGGAATCAGATCGTCGATATCTTCGACCTGGAGAAGTGCTCTTTCACTAAAACTTGCTTCTGGAGAGTTCAGAAGTGAACAATTAGTATGACGTTTAATTGTTAACATAATAAAGTATTTACTAACTCGGCATCCAAGAACCTCCACGCGTCCATGCTCTCTACAAACCTTTTGAAAGTTCTTTTCAACCCATTCTTCACCTAAATTAAAGTGATTAACCTGCTTTTATGAAGACCTAGTAGAAGTCATGGAATAGATATCTTGATTTTCGCAAGTCCTTTTAGTTTTCAAGTATTATGACGACTGGAGAACGTGTGCTGGACCTTGCTGACTTTTGTTGTAGTCGTTGAAAATCAGTCAAAATGAACAGTCGAGTTTTGCACGAACTGTCCGCACCTGCTTCATTTCAAGGATCGAGACAATGCACAAAATCTTCGGCGCCTATCAAGGACATGTCATGGTTCGACTCTATTCATGGCATTGCAGATGCTATTAAATCCATATTTGGTCTAAAACCTGACTTGTGGAGTTCTTTCTATCTTTCAATTAGGGCCTGTATTGTCTAACTCCCGTAAACGCCAGGTAGAAACTTGCCCTTAAAAGGAAGAGGGGCTTACTTAGTTTGAGATATGAAATGGATCCATGAACAATGAGCTTAACACTGCTCCTTGAGCCACTGAGCTATGCACAATGCCAAAGTTTTTTTCAACTGTTGCACTCAGAAAAGGAGCAATTATGAGCCAAACTACATGTCAATGTCGCTAGATAGTTATTTTCCATGGCTGAATTGGTATAAGGGTCCGCTCAATACGAAAACTTAGGGAAGACTTGTGGTGTTGGGGAAAGCATTTGACAGAAAACATCTGCGAATTTACTTCGACAACTACCCGAATTTAAAACAGAGTTTAAAATTTCTTTGCATCAAAGGCAGAAGGGAATTGGTTGAAAACGGGAACAAAATTGCTAAGAGTAAACGACCTCTGCTATTACTCAGCTCTTCACCATCTAAGCTATAAAACGAGCTGAGGAACTAGGTCCAGAAAATAAATTATTAAAAAGTTACCTTTCATCCTATATTTTCCTTCGTCGTCTTTGCATTTTGTATCACTCGATTTACCGAGAACTTCCAAAAATGGAAAACCTCTCCCATCTATTTTACATTCTAGATCACGACCAGCGTCCTATACGAAAAAATTAATAACACATGCTTGTTAGTAAGCAAAAGGGCTATGAGGCTTTTTCCATTATAGGAAGAAAGAGAAGACAACAATTTTTTTCTCAGCTTATAAAATTGCGTTCGTTCAACATACCGTTGCCCGTTCACCATTTGGAATTAGTTTTCCGGTTGAAATGAAACAACCCATGAACTCAACCTTACCACCTTCAGTGCATTTAAACTGGAACCATCCAACAGTCCATTCAGAACCTGAAGCGAACAAATACTTCACTTTCTTGTTTCCTTCTCGCTATGAAAATTCTCACTCTGATACAGTGAATGATGCGAGTGATTCAATTAAAAACAGCTGGTCTTTCCAAAGACGTCTCATCGACTACATAGTGAAGTTTTGAGGATGTGGGTCATTACGACTACGAATGAGTCACTCAGCTATCCACCCTCGTTACAACAGGCTAAAATATTACCTAGATCCTTCACCGTCCCACTGTTGTCTTTGCATTTCATTTCTGAGAGTGTTTCGAGAACCTCCAACACTGGGGAGCCGTTTGCATCTTTCTTGCATTCCACATAACTTCCACGCTCCTATTGGAAACAAATTAGTAAAATGGCTATTTGTTAATAAACATAAAAGATTTAGAGGCCTTCTTTCATTATAAGGAAAATGATGGGATAATAGTCTCCTCCTCTGCGCGGAAATCATTTTCATCAAACATACCTCCCTCACTTCACCGTACGGAACAAGCATCCCTTTTGATGTGAAACAACCGCTGAGCACAACGGTACCATTTTCAGTGCATTTAAACTGGAACCATCCAACAGACCATTCGGTACCTGAAGGAAAACATATCCCACTCTCCTTTCCTTCGCACGATAAAAATCTCGCCATGATATAGTGGTCCAATCAAAAGCGCCAAGCCTCTCCAAAAACATTATCCCGTCCTCTACACATAGAAGTATTCTACATGTGGACCATTACCATTGCAAATGAACCACCTTGTCTATCCGTCCACTCTCCATCATCGACCTTGAAAAGACTAAATATTACCTGGATCCTCCTCTGTTCCTCCGCCAAGTTTGCATTTCACTTTATTGGTCTTTTCGAGAATCTCCAACACTGGATTGCCGTCTGGATCCGTCTTACATTCCACACCACCTTCATCCACCTACACGCGACAAATTAACATTGCAGATATGTGTTAATAAGCTCAAAAGATTATGGAGTTTTTTCAGACAACCTTCGTTCAACTAACCCACTTCCTTTCACCGTTTGGAACTAACACTCCAGAAGACGAGAAACAACCAACTAATGCTACCTCACCATTTTCGTCACATTTAAACTGGAAAGATCCGTCTTCCCATTCGGCGCCTGCAACGAACAAATACTACACTCCCTCGTTTCCTTGTCACTACAAAAATACTCATAGTGACATATGTATTCTTTCTTTGATGAGCTTATACGAGGTTGATAATGATGTTTATTTTCGGCTAACGTTTCGACGTTTTCGTCTTCCTCGGAGCCGATGATCCGAGTCGACGGTCCGCGCTTGTTATTCGTCTCGACGTGGCAGCTTCTCTTTCGTGTCGAGTTAGGTCTTCTTCAGTGAGCCATCTCCTCACTCCCATCGGAATAACAGGTTTATATACTGTCCAATATCACGGGTGATAACGAGGCATTTCTCCCTGCGGTTCATTTTCGGATTCTTGGAATTAATCTAGAATGCCTCGAGAGTTTTGCGTGCTCGTGTTCTCGATTCTTGTGCGAGGATCGTAACCCTTACTTCAAAATCTTCTCTGTTATGTTTTTGCGTGCTATGCGTACCTAGTGGAGTACTTAGCTTACGTTTGCCGACTAGGTGTTCTTTTATAAGTACGCAGAGTAGTCTACCCGTTTCGCCAACGTATTCGTCCTCGCAAGCTTTACAAGAGATCAGATAGACTGTACCCGAACTCATGCAGTCACCGTCTCTACCATTCGAGCAAATTATGCAATTTTGCGTTGCACATAGACGGTCGTATAGGCGGTTACGAACTAGCTGGCGCCTTAGATTACTCGGTGGTATTTCGATTATGGTTACCGAATTTTCTAGACTGGCCCTTCTTAAACAGCGTTTTATAGCTGCACTTACTTCATTTGAAATGAAGGGCAGTATAAACGGGACCTTGTTGTCGCTAGAGTTATCGCAGGGGTACCGTTGGTAAAGCCAAGTAGTAAAAACATCCTAGTTCATTACCTCTCCTCTCATCCCTCTCAGACGAAAAGGGCGCTTGTGAGAAACATGTATCGAACAGCTACCAGCGTGTGCGCAGGAAGACAACAAAGAGAGCAGTCCCGGAACTTGGCGCGGCAAATAGCCATTTTTAATGGCTACGAAACTGTAGCTCGAGATAGGTGTAGAGAAAACCACAGGTACCCCTACGATAACTTTAGCGACAACAAGGTCCCGTTTATACTGCCCTTCATTTCAAATGAAGTAAGTGCAGCTATAAAACGCTGTTTAAGAAGGACCAGTCTAGAGAATTCGGTAACGATAATCGAAATACGACAGAGTAATCTAAGGCGCCAGCTAGTTCGTAACCGCCTATACGACCGTCTATGTGCAACGCAAAATTGCATAATTTGCCCCAATGGTAGAGACGGTGGCTGCATGAGCTCGGGTACAGTCTATCTGATCTCTTGTAAAGCGTGCGGAGACGAATACGTTGGCGAAACGGGTAGACCACTCTGCGTACGTATAAAAGAACACCTAGTCGGCAAACGTAAGCTAAGTACTCTACTAGGTACGCATAGCACGCAGAAACATAACAGAGAAGATTTTGAAGTAAGGGTTACGATCCTCGCACAAGAATCGAGAACACGAGCACGCAAAACTCTAGAGGCATTCTGGATAAATTCCAAGAATCCAAAATGAACCGAAGGGAGGAATGCCTCGTTATCACGCGTGATATTCGACAGTATATAAACCTGTTATTCTGATCGGAGAGGCAGATTACGCTTCCATGTGAACTCTGTGCGGTCGGTCTTCACACGACATACTCAGTGAAAGATATAGAAAGCGGTGAATGTGCAGAGCTATGCTAAATGTGATTGAAATCTCGGTTGAGCGTTTTCTCTGCATGGTTATGGAGGTGTTTGGCCGAGTGGATTGCTGTCAACTCGACCCTTCCAGGCCCTGAGGAAGGCGAAATCCGCTGAAACGTCAGCTTGCGCGTAAACAAAAAAATAAAATAGCACCTCGTGTTTGCTGAACAGAAGTAGAAAGATATATTCAATCAATGCCGAGATTAATAGAAAGTCGGACTTGAGAGTTACTACATAGTGACATAGTCATTCGACCAAAGACTGTGTCTTTTCAAAATATTATCTCATCCTTTACATAGTTCAGTTCTAGAGGCTGTGGACCATTACGATTGCCAATGAACCACCTCGACTGCCCATCCACTCTACACCATCGGCGTCATGTAGGTTAAATAATACCTGAATCCCTCTCCTGTCCTCCAGCTTCTTTGCATTTTATTTGGTTGGGTTCTTCAATAGTCTCCAGCATTGGTTTGCCCTCCGGATCAGTCTTACATTGCATATCTTCTCCATCTACCTGTACGCCAATAATTAACTTTACAGATATAAGTTAATAAGCTTAAAAGGTTATGGAGTTTTTTCGGACAACCTTCGTTCAACTAACCGACTTCGTTTCACCTTTTGGAATTAACTCTCCGGATGGCGTGAAACAACCAACGAATTTTACCTCACCCCTTTCGTCACATTTAAATTGGAAGAATCCGTCATTCCATTCGGCGCCTGCAACGAACAAATACTACAGTCCTTCGTTTCCTTGTCACTACGAAAATACTCGTTGTGACAGAGTCATTTGACCAAAGTCTGTGTCTCTTCAAAATATTGTCTCATCCTTTACATAGTTCAGTTCTAGAGGCTGTGGACCATTACGATTGCCAATGAACCACCTCGACTGCCCATCCACTCTACACCATCGGCGTCATGTAGGTTAAATAATACCTGAATCCCTCTCCTGTCCTCCAGCTTCTTTGCATTTTATTTGGTTGGGTTCTTCAATAGTCTCCAGCATTGGTTTGCCCTCCGGATCAGTCTTACATTGCATATCTTCTCCATCTACCTGTACGCCAATAATTAACTTTACAGATATAAGTTAATAAGCTTAAAAGGTTATGGAGTTTTTTCGGACAACCTTCGTTCAACTAACCGACTTCGTTTCACCTTTTGGAATTAACTCTCCGGATGGCGTGAAACAACCAACGAATTTTACCTCACCCCTTTCGTCACATTTAAATTGGAAGGATCCGTCATTCCATTCGGCGCCTGCAACGAACAAATACTACAGTCCTTCGTTTCCTTGTCACTACGAAAATATTCGTTGTGACAGAGTCATTTGACCAAAGTCTGTGTCTCTTCAAAATATTGTCTCATCCTTTACATAGTTCAGTTCTAGAGGCTGTGGACCATTACGATTGCCAATGAACCACCTCGACTGCCCATCCACTCTACACCATCGGCGTCATGTAGGTTAAATATTACCTGAATCCCTCTCCTGTCCTCCAGCATCTTTGCATTTCACTTTGTTGGATTTTTTGAGAACCTTCAGCACTGGATTACCGTCTGGGTTCGTCTTACATTCCATGTCAACTCCATCCACCTATACATGACAAGTTAATATTGCAGATATGTGTTGATAAGCGTGGAAAATTATGGGGGTTTTTTGTCATTGGAGGAATGAAAAGACGGTTTTCGATAATTTTGTCGAGCTAACACGATGTGTGTCTTTATACTTTATTGAGTTAAAACTGACGTTTCGACAGAGTCGCCTTCTTCAGAGCCTAGAGGGGTCTATTGATAAGCAATTTACTTCGTTAAACGCTTTAATAACATATACAGAAAGACGAAAGTCTAAGCCGCTGTCACACTACCAACAGCTTATTGAAGAAGCCACCGTTTACCACGTGCCTTCCACTGAGGAAGAACAGCTGATCAGCGTCGCATACGGTCGATAAATGCCCACCCCGCATCAAAAGTCTATGCGAAAGTACGGAGTCAAATAACATGTGGTTTCCGGGGCATTCCTCCCGCTATTCATATTAGGGTTCTTGATGTTAATTCAGAAAGCCTCGAGAAGTTTGTCCGTTGGTGTTTTGGCATCCTATACGACGATATTGACTTTTATATTAAAATCGTCCCCGCTATGTTTTTGTACCCTATGCGCCCCCAGCAGGGTACTTAGCCCTACTTTTCGTTTGCCGTCTAGATATTTCTTTATGCCGATACCTAAAGCGTTGTGCGGTTCGCCAATATATTTATTATTACAAGATATCAGTTATATTGTACTCAAACTCATGTAATCACCGTCCCTGGCATAAGGGTGAATTACGCAACTTTGTGTTCTGCACAGACGGTTATAGAAGCGGTTACGAACTAACTGACGACGTAGAGTAGCCGGTGGTATTTTAACTATCGCTACCCATTTTTCTAGATCTGCCCTTCTTAAGCATCGCTTCATCGCTACACTTATTTCATCGCTAATGAAGGGCAAGATAAACGGGACTTTCTTTTAACCAAGTTTTTCGCTTGGACGCGTAGCTCTCCTTCTAAATTAATCTTGTGGGGTTACCACTTCGTTGCCATTGGAGATGGCTATTTGTCGAACCAAGTTGCGTGATTCTTCTTTTAGTTCACTCTTTGTGCACACAGAAATGGTTGTTTGAAGCATGTCTCTTACAAGCGTTCTCGTTGTGTGGGAATTGTGGGAAGAGAAGAAATGAACGTGGATATTCTTGTTACTTGGTTTTCGGTACCAGTTTGTCATGTAACCGTTATCCGATAAGTTGATTTGAACGTTAAGAAATGGAAGAAAAAAATTTTTTTGGTTTTTCCCGGATGAATTTTATGTACCCAGACTGCTCATTCAAGAATTCAAAGCATTTGTCCTTCCCTTCCTGAGTACAGAGGTTGACAAAACAGTTATCTATATATCTACAGTAGAGTATTGGCTGGAGACCAATAACGGGAGCTTCTATTTTAGGCATAAAAGCAATGACGAGACTTGGTACCAGTAGCTATCCCATTTCCAACCCACTTATTTGCGCGAAATATTTCCCAGACCATCTGAAAATCGAGCAGCTCAGCCATTCTTTTAGGAGAACCATAAGCTGTTGAGTATACAAACCATGTATATTTGTTCACAATTCAGGTTCAAGAGAAAGTTTGAGAATGGCTTGCATTTCGGAATTATTCGATACGTTGGCGTAAAGCATGGGAACGTAGAAGGACTCCATAACGTAGGCTTCGTTAAGAGATGCGTTACGTAGACGTTCTAGGAACATTTGAGCGTTCATGAGGTGAGTGGAATATAATTGAGCAGCTGAGTGAGTATTAGGCTTCGAAAGCATACTATTCTATCCGTTGGCCTGTTTACACAGCTGATAATGGGTTTAACGAAGAACGATGGATAGGCGGACACAGGATCATCAGCTGATACTAGTTTGTTCTTACTTACTTGGCGGTTGAACGGCCCATCCTCACTAGTTGTGCAAGCCTCAGCATAATCTCCTTTTTTCGGTGATTTGCTTGTTAGGCCATTGTAATTTTCTGGAATCCCAGGACCAGCCTGGCTAAAGTCCGCACCAGGTCTTCACCACCACAGACAGTCATAGCCCTTGTAGATTAGAGGGGTATTTGCCACCATGCGACTTTGACACCAAGACGGTTGTGGATCCTGGAATTCGTTCACTTTCAGCTAGGCTTCCTAATGGAAACGGCCGACTCCTTCTCAGCTTGGGAGACTCTGCCTGGAGGATGAATCCTCCGCTGCACCTCCCAACCACGCCGAGGTGGTAAACCGTTGTATGGATTCTAACTTATAAACAAGGGTAAAGCTCTCGGCGTTGATTAATCCCTGGGGGATGCACCATACATTCGACTTCACTTAACATTCTTGGAGGTGAATGAATGCATATCTGGCCTTTACAATGACTCGTGGTGGCCTACCGATGTATCGAGCCAGTGCTGCTATCCTCCCAGACAATCTGGCTCCAACTTGCCAACCCCGAAGGAGTGGAAGGCTTGGGAAGCAATGGGCACGGGGATCGATTCCACGTGTGTGTCGCAGTGTCTCCCAAAACCGCTGCAGCACACGCGGTCTAGGGTTACTAACTAATGTTTTTTAATATATAGTACAAGGTGGGACATGTTTGTCTGTCTATCTCTTAGTGCGAAATTACGGATGATTTTATGCTTGCCGCCTTTGCCATTTTGACCGGCTGACTGGTTAGGTTTCGGTATTGAATTTGTATTCCTTTTCAGACCACGGATCTCTCTCACATAAGGGATCTCGACTCGGTTAGTCGCGAGAATACGTGAGACGTTTCTAGGTGGCGCATAGGAAGTTAATAAAAAACGAAAAGCAAACTTTGCTTTTCTGACAAGCAGGTAGATCCAGGGAATGGACTCCCCGTTTCTGCTGCGCTGATTTGGCACATACTTTCTGTATTTGCTAGGCGTATTCATGCATGCGTGTGTGGGTGCGTTCTCGCTTATGCGGATTGTATTCTACGAGTCAATTCGACCAAAGGCCTGCAATCAAGTGACTGGGAAGTATATAGGAGGCGGTTAGGAGTCGCCTCCAACAAATAAGCGCTATGTCTATTCTGGGAGAGCCTGGCAAGCTACCCGTGAGTATACCCAGCCTCCACGTTCTGAGAACAGCAAGCTATACGTGAGTATCAAAATGGTGAACACAGTAAAAGAACGAGCTTTATTTTCCTGACCCCGAAGGAGTCTCCAATTTTACAGCGTTGGGTACGACGAGTACGGAGAGACAGGTAAAATCTCAGAGCCAATAGAAGCTGCCTGGATTGGAAAGGACTAGGGTAACGATCTGAACCTGCAACGCACATACATTTGCATCCGAGTCCTTAATAGAAGACTTGCTCATACAAGAAAGAACGATAAGGTACGTTATCGACATGGCCGAAACGAGGCAACGCCACCCATTCAATACCGTCTATTACACCGGACACGAACCGTGCCATGGAACATGCGACAGTAGAGGAAACGACGGCGTCGGCGTTCTCGCCAACAAGAGTTTGTGCATGAATATTGATTCATTCGAACAACTTACAACCCGAATCGGGCGTCTACGGTTACAAAGATGGTGATCAATTCTAGTTTTGACAATCTTTGTCGTTCATGCGCTGACATCAAACTATGAGGAAGAAGAAGTCGAAGCGCTCTAAAAGGACTTAGAGAAGTTTTACAGGAAAGACCATACTTTCTTCAAGATCATGATTGGGTTTCAACGCCAAGATTGGACCAAAAAGAACGTCACATTAGAAACTACGGATCAGAATGGAACGAACAGAGCGAGCAGCTCTCCAAGTTTATCGCGTCGACCAAGACCACACATGGTAACTCGCAATTCCAGAAGCGCCACCCTCAACATTGGACATGGGAGTTTCCCAATAGAAAGTACCATAATGAAATAGACCACATCATAGTAAATAGAAGGTTTGCCTAACCGATGTCGCTGTTCTCCTAAATTTCTACACGGATTCAGACCACCGTCTTCTTCGTGCAAGATTCTACTTTTCGCTGAAAAGAGAAAGAGTCACTAAATTCAAAAACCGAAATGCCAGAACTACCCTAACCTGGCACTTATTCAATTCATTGGTCGACTGTTAGGAGGATGCTGTTGTCGATAACATCGTCAAAGAATACCATGGGCTCATCCAACATCCTCACGTTGGCGCTACAAAACCTGAGGGTTCGAAAGCCACCAAGAGATGTCTTTCGCCAAACACACTGGAGTTGATACGCCAATCTGGAATCGGACGAGCTTCTGGGAACTGCGAACTAGCGTTCGAACTTGCCAAACAATGCAGACATGCTATAAAGGAAATCCTAAAAAGAGAAGAGCAGCAGTAATGGTCGAAGCTGCGGAGGCTGCGAAAAGCATTCGCAAAGCCCACCGAAGCTTTGCCAATTACAAGACTAAGATGATTGCACTCCAACACCCAGACAGAACAGTTACGGCGTCCAGAAAGGCAATGGAGAAAATCATTCACGAATACTACTCAGATCACTTCGGCAGCCACGTCCACCTTCCGTCATATGAAATAAAGGAGGATGGATATGTCGTACAACCGGTTCTCACCTCCGAAATCCGACATACTCTTTCGTTGTTGAAAGATCGAACAGCAACAGATTCGGAACGTTGGAGTGGCACAACATGAAAGTGAAAATCATCAATGGTCGGCAGTAACACCATCTCCGCTTTGCTGATGACATCGTTCTTATAACACCAAACATTAGAAGTATGATTGCCGACTTTGATAAAGCCTCTGGAACGATTGCTCTTCGACTAATTCCCACGAAAACGATGTTCATGAGAGACGGATTGGTTTCGTATGCCCCATCTACGCTCAACGGAACGAAAATCTCTGAATGCACCAGCTTTGTCTATCTAAGTCGGAAAATCAACGTGTTGAACGACTACGCTCCAGAGTTGAGCAGAAGGAAACGAGCGGCTTAGGGAGCCTTCAAGAGCATCGAAGATGTAGTGAAGAGGATAAAGAACACACTACTCCGTGTCCACCTTTTGATTCAACGGTGCTTCCTGCCCTAACGTATGCGTCAGAAACCTGGTCGCTGGATGAAAGGTCACTCAGTGTTATTGCACGCGCAGTCGAAAGGGCGATGCTAGGAGTATCCCGTTTCAAACAAGTAATGGAAGGGATCCGAAGCTCCGACCACGATCAAAAATCAAAGTTGCCGTTCTGTACGCCAAACAGTAAAAGATAAGATGAGCCGGACACGTAATGCGCATGAATGATAACCGATGGACAAGAGCTGTTAGTGACTGGATTCGTCGGGATGTCAAACGCACTGCAGGAAGAGCACGGACTCCGTGGTCAGAGTTCTTCACGAAAAGCCTAAAAGAAAGATATAATGCCCGACGAGTCCCTTGAGAGAGTAGAACTTACTGGGCTACTCTTTCACGTGATAGGGAAAAATGGAAGGTTTACTGTCGCCGCTAGAGTCACTCGACCATCAACGGGACTGCAGGTGATGCCGGTGATTCTTTTTTAGACGATGAGCGATAAATCGTAACATCCCTAAGATGTTCCTCCGTTATTTTAACACCTGATCGGCAAGGAATAACTTCGAACTCCTTCCCCTATCGTTACCTGATAGCCTAATAGTGTTTGAATTCGCTAAACCTCTAGTTTCTCGCATACCACATTTTTTCGGGGCTGTGAGGTTAGAGAAGAATTTTCTACCGCGATAATGATTAAGGGTTTTGAAAACATCGTTCGAAAACGTGCGGAATTTTGCATCGATTTTAGCATTAGGATCCTGTTGTCTAAAAAACGGTCTAGAGAAAGGAGACGGTGCTTAACTCACCCTATAACCTCTTGATTTTCATTTGTGCTCGAAATTTCTTTTTTGGCCTAATGGCGGAGTCGATTTTGTAGCTTATACAAGCTGCATGTGATCCTACGCACGGTTGCTTCAAAAATGGGTTGTGGTGGTGAAAAGTTTGGGCCCAGTTCTAATGGTGATCGCGCGCTCATGGGTATGGTCATGCCTCAAATACCGTACCCTAGATTTTCTTGGCGTATTACCAACCCTATTTTGACTCCTATTATAAGCGTAAATAATTTGTTCTGGGTTTCTTGGAGCCGAGATACACGAATTACTCAAAAGATTCTCGAACTTTCGTTGTAAGGCTATTTTCGCATTAGACCTAACACTATTGCGTATCGATTTGCAATATTATAATGGACAAGGTCAACTTTTTATTTACTGCCTATTGCAATTTTTCACAGCAGGATAGTATGTATGAAACAACCACAATGATGCTGAGATATTTGCAAAACTCCGAACCCCAGGTGTCTGCGGTGGAGAACGAACGCGCTGTTGTCCTTTACGGGGAGTAACGCGTTCACCACCACACCATGCGGGTCCTTCGTTTCGCCTGTCTCTCAGCTACTTTTATCGATCTCTTGTCATCAGCAATCACCCGTCAACGGGATTGGTCTGGGGAGCCCAAATCGGCAATGAACCAAGTTAAGCTGAGGCTATAGTTATAATCACAATCGTAACCATTTTATTTACTGCCTATTTTTTTAGCGGCAGGGTATTTTCGCGAAATATAACTATTATAATGCTGAGGTATATGCAAAACTCCGAACCCCAGGTGTCTGCGGTGGAGAACGAACGCGTTGTTGTCCTTTCCGGGGAGTAACGCGTTCACCACCACACCATACGGGACCTTCGTTTCACCTGTTTCTCAGCTATAGAAGGCAGTAATTTTTCCCAGACTGTTAAATGACCTTCGTGCAACTAACCGACTTCACTTCACCGTTTGAAACCAACTTTCCGGATGATGTGAAACAACCAATGAGTAGCACCTCACCATCTGCACTACATTTAAACTTGAATGATCCGTCTTTCCATTCTGCACCTGCAACGAACAGATATTTCAGTCCTTTCATTTCCTTTTCACTACTAAAATACTTACTGTCATATAATCATTCGATCAAAAAAGTGGTTCCACCCCCTCCCCCCCCCTCCCAAAAAAAACATTATCTCGCCCTCTACACAGTGAAGTTTTGAAGGTTGTAGACCATTACGATTGCGGATGAACTACCCCAGCTATCCATCTACTTTTCACCAACGGCGTTCTACAGGCTGAAGTATTACCTTGACTCCTCTCCTTTCCTTCGCCATCTTTGCATTTCACTTCCTCGGGATTTTTTAAAACCTTCAACACTGGTGAGCCGTTTGCATCTTTCGTACATTCCATATAAACTCCATCCATCTATTGGAAACAATTTAGTAACACGGATTTTCGTCAGCAAACATAAAAGTTTATAACGTTTTCTTCATTATAAGAAGGATGAGGCGACATTATTTTTTTTCTTGGCTTATTAAATCACCTTCGTTCAACTAACCGACTTCGTTTCACCGTTTGGAATTAACTCTCTGGAATAGGCGAAACAACCAACGAATACCACCTCACCATCTGCTCCACATTTATACTGATATATCCCTCCTTTATCTTTCCATTCAGAACCTATAAAAATTATCTTGTCTATTTATTCCTTTTTTATTACTATTACTTTTTAAGGATCCTAAAAGCTGTCGCATTCGAAGGATGGTTAGGTCCCATGAAATGATGAGCAACGAATGTTCCAGTTACATATAATGTTTCGCTTTATTGCTACGACAATAATGTCTGGTAACTCTAAGGATTCTGAGAATCTTGAGCCTTCAAGATTTAGGAGAACACACATCGTAGAAGAAAAAACATAGATGAGCCAGCCGGATAATTTTAAAAAGCGACAGATGAACGAAAAGAACTATAAAATAGACTCCATGGGAACACAAACGACCTATGGGATGAAGTACGACCTTTCCATTGTTTGAACCTCAGTCAATCAACTAAAGTCAATCAACTGTACTCGGAGCTGCAGTTGTTTTACAAATGATTGTGTGAGACTCGCACCCGCTACCACGCTCCAAACAACCTCCCAACATGGGCGACGATTGCGGAGCAAAGAGATGAATACAAAACGTGCTGGATTCCACACAACTCGTGAAAACGGGCCAACCAAGTAAGCAAATAAGCAATTCTGAGGAATATTAAAAACAACTGCACTCTTTATTAAATAAGATTTTTATGTGTTGTATATCAACTATCCTAGGAGATGTTGCCAGTCTACGATTATAATGCGTGTTCTTGACGTACCAGCACGCACTCTTAATAGAAAGGACCTGCGAGATGGACGAACAATTCTCATATTCATAGCAGTAAACTGTGAAAGAATTTTTCGATGTCCGATGGGTAGAGTCCTCTACTTATTTTATGCACAACGTTTTCTTCCTCATCCCTTAAATTTTCGGTGTTAAATTAGCAAAATTTCTAGGGTTTTACCAGTTTACCTAGTTGCTACGAAAAGCGCTCTTGAGCCCTAACAGATGCACCTCCGACTATAAGGAAGATTCGCACAACCATCTGAAGCCTGTTGAGGAAGAAACCAATGATTGGAATGAATGTCTCCTCAGCAACAACATGCGTGCTACTTGGTAAATAATGGGAAAATGGGAAGCATTCACATAGCTTTCGACGCAGCAGAGGAAAAACATCGTGTCACCCAGGAATTTCTTAACGAATAGAGAAATGCGCTGGATTTACCACGTTTCGCCGTGATTCGTGAAGACGGATTGCTCAGAAATTTAACTCACGTAGGACTTTAGACTAACAACGCACAGCACAACATTTTGCTACACAAGTGATTCAAACTGTTCTCATTTTCACAATTCGTCAACCTAGGAACTCACAAGGCACCAATTTCTTTGATTTATTCAAAAGTAGTGGCTCACCCACCGTATGGATGGCCATAGCACGATCCTCTGCTGCGTATCAACCGTTCCAGTATAACTCTGCCGTCGGGTTTCTTAATGCAACTCCATATGCGATCTTGAACTAACCTTTCATCGTTCATTGGCACCTTCAAAAATTCTAAACGTGTTGTTCATTCAGCATAACGTTTTTGTTGAAAAAATATGCCGTTTTTCTTCAATGTTACACAATCAATATGAATACGAAATGATTTAGCATTAGACTGCATTAATATAGCACTATAAAAGGATAAAAGAAAAAAGCTCTCGGCGTCGATAAACCCCTGAGGGATCCGCCATGCATTCAACTTCATTAGGTATCGTTGGAAGTGATTGAGTGCATATCTGGCCTTTACAATGACTAGCGGTGGCCTATCGATGTATCAAACCGGTGCTGCTATCATCTAAACCAGTCTGGTACCCATTTTCCTACTCTGGAGGAAAGGAAGGCTTGATGAGCCACGGACTCGAAGATCGATTCCACGTGTGTGTCGCAGTGGCGCCTCCAACCACTGCGCCACACGCGCCGTTATAGCACTATATATAATAATATATTTGCTTCAATTAATTTAAACACTAGTGAAACTGGTTGGCGGCTGGCACGAATGAGAGATCTCATACGATGTAGAAGAAAAAATGATCCTCATATATCGTGCGATGCAAAATGGAGACGCCGTGTAGCTTCGAGACCTTGTTCTTGTTGGAAATCTCGTGATGATTAAGAACACATGGCATGTCAAGTGAAAAGTTTCAAGAACTGCTGAAAAACCGGTGCTATTAATCGCAGCATAATTTTCTCTGCTCAACTACAGATTTTTAAAAATAGATGTCTGAAATATAATGCTATAATGCTTCCCATGTGCGTTGCGCAACGCGTTCACGTCCATTCGTGGCATTTAAAAGGTATTTGAATGCATCTCTGGCCTATGAAGTAATCTTTAAAAATCTATCGTTGTATCATGTCAATGTTCTTAATTTCCTAATCAAATATTTTAGCAATTTATCAACATCGGAGAGGGGGAGGATTGGTGAGATAGACTGCGTGTTCTACCATTTACCGATCCTATGTGTTCTGCAGCGTTCTGCACTGAACCCGCTTTGTTTTCTGTACACTTATAATGCTTTTTTTCAGCACGGCTTTACTGTTGCAAGAAACTTTATAAGTTTTGTTACCCAAGTTTCAAACTGAAAAACCTGAATTCAATCCACCAACTCCTCGTCGTCTTTCGAACAAAATGCCTTTCCTTCTAGTACAGTTCACTTAAAGTCCAAATAAGAATTTAAAATTTCAGTAATGTTTTCAAAGGTAATTCTTCGTATTTTTGTTGAGCAAACGCGAGGTGTTATTATTCTTTATTCACGAATGAGCTGACGTTTCGGCGGATTTCGCCTTCCTCAGAGCTTGGAAAGGTCAAGTTGACAGCAATCTACTTGGCCAGACGCCTCCATAATAACGCCTCCATAATTTTAACCCTAATATTTAATCAGTTGTTGAAACACATTCCAGCCCATCTTACGAATACCCAGATGATTCTGGATCGTCTACGTACTGCGCAGCCCAACAGCGCGTGCGTGATGGAGTCCTTCGACGTTACCGCCCTTTATACAAACGTGTTGAATGACTCCGCAATGCAAGCCATATTCGAACTCCTTACACAACGCGAAGGAGAAATAAACATGTATGGCTTCGAGATAGAGCAGTTGATGGCACTCTTAAAAGAATGCTTGAGCTGCTCAATCTTCAGATGGTCCGGAAAGTACTACGCTCAAATAAGAGGGTTGGCAATGGGACAACGACTGGCTCCAAGCCTTGCCATTCTATTTATGTCTAAAGTTGAAGCACCGGTGACTTATCTCGGGCCGCTACTCTACTGTAGGTATGTAGACGACTGCTTTCTCCTTTGCTCAACACAGGAGGAAATGGACAAATGCTTTGAGTTGTTAAACACAAAGTCAGAGTACATCAAGTTCACCCGAGAAAAACCGAAAGAAAATTGGCTTCCATTCCTGAACGTGCAAATTCACCTGTCGGAGAATGGCTACATTACAAAATGGGACCGAAAACAAAGTAGTAAAAACATTTTGGTTCATTACCTCTCCTCTCACCCCTCTCACACGAAAAGGGCGCTTATAAGAAACATTGTTTCGAACAGCAACCAACGTGTGCACAGGAAGACAACAGAGAGAGGAGTCCCGGAACTTGGCACGGCAAATAGCCATTTCTAATGGCTACGAAACTGTAGCTCAGGATAGGTGTAGGGGAAATCCTAGGCCTGCAGACAACAACTCTAGCGATAGAAGGGTCTCATTTATCCTACTCTTTATCTCAAATGATATAAGTACAGCTATAAAACGCTGCTTAAGAAGGGCGGGATTAGAGAATTCGGTACGCGTAGTTGAAATACCACCGAGTAATCTTAAGCGCCAGCTAGTTCGTAACCGCCTATATGACCGTCTATGTGCAACTCAAAACTGCATAATTTGCCCCAGTGGTAGAGACGGTGATTGCATGAGCTCGGGTATAGTTTATCTGATCTCCTGTAAGACGTGCGGTGACGAATACATTGGCGAAACGGGCAGACCCCGCTGTGTCCGCATAAAGGAACACCTAGCCGGCAAACATAGACCAAATACTCCGCTAGGCACGCATAGGACCCAGAGACATAACGGGGAGGATTTTGAAGTATGTGACGCGATCCTCGCACGCGAATCAAGAACACAGGCGCGAAAAACTCTCGAGGCACTCTGGATTAATTCCAGAAATCCGAAAATGAACCGCAGGGAAGAATGCCTCATTATAACGCGTGATGTAGGGCAGTATATAAGACTGCTATTCTGATGAGTGGGGCACATTATACTTCCATGTGATTTCTATGCGGTTGGTCTCTACGTGACATACTTAGTGGAGACCTCATAGAAAGCGGTGAGTGTGCAAAGCTGTGTTCAATGTGATTGAAATCTTGGTTTAGAGTTTCTTTGTTTGGTTATGGAGGCGTCTGGCCAAGTAGATTGCTGTCAACTTGACCTTTTCAGGCTCTGAGGAAGGCGAAATCCGCCGAAACGTTAGCTCATTCGTGAATAAAGAATAATAACACCTCGCGTTTGCTCAACAAAAATACGGAGAATTACTTGATCAATGCCGAGGTTAATAGAAAGTCGGTCGTGGGAGTTCTTCAAAGGTACTTGTTCATATCTTAGAATTCACATCCGTTTCGATCATAAAAGTGTCTATTTTTCACTTCCGATTTGAAAATATCATCTTCGAGATGTGAATGCCGAGATTGAAGTGATTTAGAAGGTTTTCCAAGAAATTTACTTGTTGTATAAGACGCTTTAAAGCGTAAGTAACGGCGTGATGTATGTAAAATAATAATAGCAGTAATAGCAATGATAAAAGTGCAATCTGTGATAAGCAAA